CTCTCTCTCTCTCTCTCTCTCTCTCTCTCTCTCTCTCTCTCTCTCTCGTTCACGTCGCATATTATTGAATTTTAGATGCATACTACTGTCAGATTTCGATGATTAATAATTATTTTCAATAAATACCACGACACCAATACGATGGATGAAACAAATAAAAAATTCTTGCAGGATACCAGTCTGGGTTATTCATCTATATAATGTGTATATTTCATGATGTATTGGGTGTAAACATTTCTGTGCTTTCCAAAGGCAAACTTAACCATCCTTTTTTCAAACGGGATTGTAGAAGATCACTTATATTGCTTTGATTTTAATTGTTTTCATTCAGAATAAATTATATATATTCCAAAAGAATACATGAAAACTGAAGTTTTAGTTGAAGTTCCTGTATTTGAATCAATAATTTCGCTGCAATTTGTTATTGATTACGCACTTATTCTTCTGCACTTTATTTCTACCCATCGCTTCCTACACTTCAAGCTTTGCAAGTTTTCCCTTTCAGTCATCTTTAAACTTGAAAGTTAAACTCGAAAAAGAAGAAGAAGAAGAAGAAGAAGAAATCTGTCTTCGGTTTAAATAACTCGATTGACAGAGCAATCGTTTCCGTTCCAGTTTCCAGTAATCTGATCGACCAATTACTTTTTCCCCCGTACACTTTTGTACCGTATTAGAACTCGTTTCATATTACTATAACGGTATAAACACGCTGCAAGTGTATCGTGTCCGATCGCTCGTGTGGTTTTGTATCGCTAGTCTCCAAAGGCACGAAACTTTAGGAAAGTTAACCGTCAATTACATCGCTATATATTAGGTTGTTCCGAGAGTTTTTTTCGCGAGTTCCACTTAATTACTTTATGTGGTCGTGTTTATATAAATAGACAGTCTAATTTCATAGATATTCACGTTGTAACAGTAATGGAGCAAAATGAATCGCGCATAATTCAGTAATGTAACATAAAATATAAACTGTTTTCCATGTATTACTTATTAATAAAGCGAAAGAAACTTTTGGGACAACCCAATAGTAGTACATACAGTGGGGGTAGAAAGTATTCGTACACCGATCAATATCCAAAAACAACTATGTAAAATTGTAATTTACTAACTTATTTTTTATAAACATTCTACATATTCTCGGAAATCTCTAGAATAGATAGATTACAACAAAAAATGGCTATTTATGTAAGTTGCGAAATTAACAAGAAAAAAAAAACAATTAATCGATAGAAATGTTGAAGCAATAAGTATTCGCACAACTGTTTAAAAGTACTTTACTAGAAATTTGATGTTTTAGAAACTCTACTGTAAATGGTTCGTCATAAGAATCGTACAAATACTTATTGCTTCTATACTTTTACCCACTTTTCGCATGTTTTCGTTAATTTCACAAATTATATTAACAACTAGTAAATGTTGTTTGGACTATATCTATCTTAGAGACTTTTCGAGAATATGTAAAATATCATTGATTATACAAAAAGAAGTTAAGAAACTACAATTTCACAGAAAAGTTTTTTGGGAAATTGATCGGTGTACGAATACATTCTACACCCACTGTATAGCGTATCTGATACCTAATAACAATATTTACAACAATTGGCATCACCACCCACTTGAATCATCAAAGTAAATGTCTTGCAAGCAGTCTGGAAAAAGAAAAAAATGTGGCCTCATAGAGGGTTGAATTTTTTATTTTACGTACGATGGACAAATAGCTCATCTTTTATTCGTTATTTGAAATTCGTATGTAGACAAGAATTGTGTCTCTATTCCTGGAGTAAACCGATATTATTTATTTTAATACTAGTATTAAAGATATTATATCTCGAGCTCTATCCCATGTCACAAACTTTAACCTCTTGTGTTGGCAGCTGTTCGAAAAGTTGCGACGGGACTCTCCACACGAGCTTCTGAAAATCATTCCTGTAGCTGGGGACGTGACGGAACATGAATTGGGCATCTCAGAAACTGATCAGAACACGCTCATTCGACGCGTGTCGGTCGTCTTTCATTCCGCTGCCACGGTAAAATTCGACGAAGCGCTGAAACTTTCAGTTACCATCAACATGGTCGGCACCAAACAGCTATTGAATCTATGCCATCGCATGCACAATTTAGAGGTGAGACCTTCTTGGCAAATTGTCTTTTCGTACATTCGATTCACTGTATAATACCTAGGAAACGGCATTAGGAGGCCAAATATTAAGCGTTCCTCGTGATTTTTTTTTTACAGAGAAAAATTTTAATTTTTGTTTAACTTTGAGGATATTTTCTCACTCTTTTAAAGTACATTTGGTGATTCTTTCAATTCGTTTCATACGGAGATCTTTAAGATATCAGCTGTCCTCTACAGCAAAATTTCGCCCAATTAATAATATCGTAGATTAAAGTTCGATAGGTTACTTCTAAATCCTCAACTTGAACTTTAGTAGCCATCTTAATATCTGTTTAACTTGGAGTTATAAATAAATTAAATAGACTGCGGATCTTGTGCAAACTAAAATATTCGCAAACGTTCCTATAAAAATTGAACCTAAATAAGAATTTATTTTATTCTGCAAATGTTACAACATGAACTTTACTTACAATCTTTTTTATATTCTTGCATATTGTTTGTATTTTGTAGTTTCTTGCACCTTTAAATTTTCTATAAATGCATAAAGATCTGCAGTCTCGTTATAAATAATTGAATACAGAGCCACAGAATTAATTCCCATGCCGAAAAATTGTAAATATAATAAAGTAAAAAAAAAAAAATGTTCTTCCTATGTAACTTTAATCTTTAATCTGTAAATTTTGATCGATAGGCCCTCATCCATGTTTCGACAGCATATTGCAACTGCGATCGTAAGGAGGTCGGCGAGGAGATTTATCCGCTGTCAACCGAACCTGAACACGTAATCGCATTGACGAAGGTCATGGATACCAAGATGGTTGATGAAATAACACCGACTCTGATCGGCAACAGACCGAATACCTATACGTTCACCAAAGCCCTCACCGAGAGGCTGCTGGAATCGGAATCCGGTTATTTGCCAGTCGCAATTGTGAGACCTTCTATCGTGTTGTCGTCGTTTAGGGAGCCAGTGGCTGGATGGGTAGACAACTGGAACGGACCGACTGGAATTATTGCCGCTGCTGGCAAAGGTGTCTTGAGGTACGTTGGACTTGAAGTCGCCTTGATCTCCCACTACAGTTGGAACAAATTCGGTGAATCGCTCAAGGCCAATGGGAGGAGTTATCCCCACCACAACGCTTGACCACGCCTACGATTCCCTATCCTTCTCCTCACCAGATGCTCTCATTGGTTCACATCATTTGACTACAGCCATCGAAAAATAATAAAAGAATAATAGATTTATTTTACTCTAAGGAGTAAGCTAAAAGCATTCCTTCAATGAATATCCATGAAATGTGACGAATATTGGACTACAGCAATTGTATTCTGTTGTTTTATGAAATTATTAGGTTGGAACATACAGTGACCAAAAGAAAAAGTCATGAAAGTAACATGTGTATACAAAGAGTATTACATATATTAGTTATCAAATTCATTAAAGCTTGGTAACTTCACATAATTTTTACAGTAATCCTTTTTTCTACGATGGCTCCTTACCTACTGTTTAATTAATATTTCTTCGTGAAAGAAAAGCACGTAATCCATAAACACAAAAAATTGGAGAAACCGTAACAATACACAGTGTCAAAAAAGAAAAAAGAAAAAAAAACAGTTCAGAGATAGAGAGGTTACTTGTACATTTCGTATGTCACAACCTAATATTTGACGAACTCGTTCCTCTTCGAAGGTCTTGTTAACCGATCTACCGTTATCGTTGCAGAACTATGCTGTGTCACGAAGATAAGGTAGCAGACTTAGTACCGGTCGACATGGTGATTAACTTGATGATCTGCACGGCATGGAGGACCGCTACGAATCGCACGCAGACGATCCCCGTGTACAATTGTTGTACAGGCCAACAGAATCCAATTACTTGGAAGCAGTTCGTCGAAATGATGTTTAAATACACACGAATGCACCCGCCGAACGGTGCGTTCTGGTATCCGGGCGGACTGTGCCGTCACTCCGTTATAATGAATAGGACGTGCTTGTTCTTCCAGCACATGTTACCGGCGTACGTTGTAGACTTTTTCCTGCGGTTAAAGGGTAAACCGACTATCATGGTCGACATACAGATGAAGCTCTACAAAGCCGCCAGTTGCTTGGAGTACTTCAGCACGAAAGAATGGAAGTTTAGAGACGACAACGTTCGTCGGTTAGGGGAACAGCTCAGCCCCGAGGACCGAGAGACTTTTATGTTTGATGTTAGAGAAATTAACTGGGGAACGTATTTGGAGGACTACATATTGGGAATTCGACACTTCATTTTGAAGGAGAGTCCGGACACGTTGCCAGCTGCTCGTTCACATATTAGAAAGTAATTACCATCCTTGTGACTTTTACAATTTCCGAGGCTTCGACAGTTGATTCTGATACAGTTTTTATTCCTTATTCGAATACAAATTTGTCCATCGCTGCATAGAGCAAGAGAGTCGAATACAGAAATAAACATAAAATATCTCTCGTCTGTAAACTTTGTATTTTAATGATTTTACTGTGTTTCAGGTTATATTGGCTTCAGAAAGCTGTACAATTTGGGATGTTGTTGATAGTGCTGCGTTTTCTGCTTTGGCGCAGTTCCGTAACCCGAACTGCATCTTTGTCACTGCTGTCTATCGTGCTACGCATGTGCCGTATGATTGTTTGACGGCTCAGAACCCTGGTTGAGGATCGCGACAAGCGTGATATGAAACAAAAGTTAATCGTAAAGCATAATTTAAAGGTGCGGATTGTCCTTCGACTTCACTGCTCGGCGTTCCCGACGATAAATCGCTATGTTCACGCGTCCCATTGGTTGGCCTTTTCGATGTTTCTATTTGTTCGTAAATATTAGCGTTCGCTAGCTCTGTAATTCTGCAGGATGTGTCGGTTGTAACATTTAAAAAAATACGCAGGATGAAGCAACGTGTATGCGAAGCTTCCGAAATTATGTGAATCCTTTGTTATTCGAAATTGTTCGAAAGAGTTAGTTAGTTAATCCTTTTGTAATATTTGCGTCGTCTTCTTGTTCGAGATAGCATTTACAAAAAGAGAAAAAAGTAAAAACGGAAAGAAAGTTCACGTTTTATTACGAGTTATCGTGACGCGTTCTCTTTTATGCCGCCAAGATGTAACGTTCTTGAACATCGATTTATCGCATATCGCCGATTTGTAATGATGGGACACTAGGAGTATTCGATCAATTTAGATGCCATGAGACCTTTTGGTCTGGATTTCCTGGATGTTTATCTGGGTGTTACTTTGCGGTATCATCGAGCACCGCCTCTTAAAATAATACGACGCGTAAACTCCATGAGCCGGCTGGTCGAATACTGGCCGAATATTTAATGTACCAGAAAAAACCTTGTGATTTGCTATCTTAATAACATCGTTGAGATTTTTTTTTTAAATCCTTTTCTAAATGTTTTAGCTTGAAGACCAAAAACGATCATAGTTTACAGATCATTTAAGGAGAAATATTTGTTATTCGTATATTTTTACGTTCCAAATATTTATCTCCGCAACGGTTAAGAATTTTAAAAAAATACTTGTTATATAATTTATGTTCTTTTCGCGCGTTGAAGCTTTGAACCAGTTTCCTTAAATTTTTAATCGACAAGGTTTTACTGTATTCCATTGCCGAGGAAACACGTTTCGCTGCTTTGTTTTGCCAAACAAAAACAAACCCACATTTAATATTAATTGTAGAAATAAATGGAAGCGGTAGATATATAAATGTATTTTAACATAGCCAAACAAATTTTAACGCCCGTAATCTTCCTTCCTTTTCATAATTTTTATGCGATAAATTAAGAAATAACGCGAACTTCTCTTCCTGCAGGATTGTTTAATCCTTTCACGCGTGGGTTTTTAAGCGCCAACCCCCCGCTCATTAAGTGAGTTCTTTTTTTCCACAATTTAGTATAATATGCCGCTACGTACGGCTGTATATGATGAAATTACGTACACATAAAAGCCCAAAGGATTAAACATTAGCCCAACGTCGAATCCTTTCGAGTCTAATGTTGAAACATCAATTTCCCTTTAAATTATTGTTACAAGTTAAACACGCATACGTTTATGTCTAGTATTCGGGGACATTTTTCCCACAAAGTAGTACATCGCTGCATAGACTCAAAAGGATTAATTAAAAAATTTAAATGCCGGCTAGAGGAGTTACAAATACGTCGTGCCTTTGTCTCGTCGCTATCTGGCATTTTTTGTTCGTTTGTACTGCGACGTAAGATACATAGATGGATATTTAGCCATGTTCGTATAACAAATACGATCGATTTATTCGATTTCACTATCAACGAACCAAGTTACTTTTTGGAGAATTGGGGAAACATTAATGAATTATAATTTTTAACCTATATCTCTACTACAATTTTTAATCTATACATATATTAGAATTTCTACATTCCCTTCGGTTTTGTGTACTTGCCCGGAATAAAAGATTACCGTATGCTTATAAAATTAATGTTTAAAATATTTACTTCGTTCATTTACATTGCTTAATAATAAACAAAACCCGATGGATTACACGAATAATGTCAGCATCATGGATAATTTGATTCGTTGTTGATGAAATTGAAAATAAATCCGAGAGACATCTTGACAAAAGTTAAGACATACAATTATACTATAACGAACAAAAGACTACTGAAGATGAAATGTCTCGTACAATGTACCCGATAGATTTATTCATGTTTAAAGTGTATTAGCGTTCCTTTCGAATGAAAATTTCCGTCATGGAGACCAATCCATTGAAATACGTAGCCAACGTCTAACGTTTTTTCGAAAACTGCCACCGGTAGGCAAAAAATAATAGAATCATAACCGAGGCACATGGTTGACGAAGGTCGTTGAAACGCTTGAGGGTAAATGTGAGAGAAGATATAGAAATATCACTACGTATCTTACGCGTACTATGGTCATGGTATTACTGACGCTAAAATTTTGAAGGCATTGGCAACTTAATCTTATCTTCCGGTCGAGTTCTTCGCACGTAATGACATTTATTAAGCGGCTCGTTCATCGAGCGACGAGGAAAGCCGAAATTAGAATCGATAGGCGAAGAGAAGACAAATTTGTATATACGAGTTATTGATATTAACGAAGAAGACGATTTTATATAATATAATTCGTGCATCCGTTTCGTCACTCATTCGTGTATTAGACTTTCCAACGCGTATTTCAGTCAATATGTCTCCTCCGATGTACATCTATATTTTACCGCGACATCCTATGTACAGTACAAATTTTCAATATTCGTATCCAACACCGTTACGGATCAACAATTAGCTGCGCGCGCGAACTTGTTTTAAGATCGAAGAAATCCTCGAAAATCTTGATGCTTGATCCAGAAAAAGCGTTTCCTTGTAACTGTCTATGCGAAATTATAGCACAAGTTTAAGACTTCTTTTATATATTAACTGATGGTACGATAAATAGATGTAAGACTTATTCATCCCCGTACGAAATCGGTTAACGAAAGAACTAGTTCGCAAGCTCGTATGATCCGTGAAATGTTCTGCGTATTAAACGTCCGAATCACACAATAATATAGATTAATTTTCAATTCGGTAAATATTGAAATTTTGATTACTGTAGTCTACAGTTCACATTATACGCATATGGAAGGATTACACTTGATGCGGTGAAGGATTATTATGCTTGGCTACGTTTTGATGTCTCTAGCAACGTACGATAAGATTTCGAGTTACGGCTTGGTAATTTAGCATGTAATACTCCTCGCTATCTTGTGCGTTCGATGAGTATCTCTGCGATGTTTACATTCTCGTGAATATTAATTTCGCGTTTGTATTCTGCGAATGTTCCGTTAAGCGTTCGTTAACCCTCTGTAGTCCATTACTTCTTCGGCATTAAATGTTAATATAACGTTTATCGTTTCGATAATCATATTCAGACTCTTTTTTCAAAGTGTCTTATAATATTGTTAGAACCATTGTAGGGAATTACAGAAAGAGTTTAATTAAAGTTGTCTAAAACCATTGATCCAAGAAACATTTTCAATTGCGTTGTGTACTTTGTCTGTTTTACCATTGAAATGGTCAATGGAGGGTTCAAATAATACTAACCTTCACTATCGATACTAACAAATGCCTTTGGTTATAAATCGTGTTCTTTCGATAAGATACTGCAACGTTTCACTAGCATTGCAGCCAGCTTGTTCAAGGGACAAATGACATTGATATTGGCATGCTTCATATAGCTTACATTATTTTAAGGTATCTGTGCTCATGTCACGGTTCATTGACTACCAATCATCGAGCTCATAGTATGGTTCACTGGTCGTCAATAGAAGTTGTTACGATTGTTCTGCTGACGTAAGCACAAGTACCTTGAAATGACCAAAGCCACACAACACACACCAATGTCAGTGTGTCATTTAAGCTCTGAAGTAGTTAGCTGCATTTGCTGATGAAACTAAGGAACATCTGATCCAAAGTACACAACTTTACACCTGAAAGCCTTCAGTTAGCATCAACCATAAGAACTGGATCGTGAAAGCCTCAAATATCTTAACCTTCACGTTATATAACATCATCTAAGTGCTAATCTACATACTCATACGTTTTTACTCTGAACGTTGCCTGTGCCTTTAAGATGATTAAGTCGTGAGCCATTCCCAAAACCGACTACGATTGTTTACAACCGAAACATATTTCCCCATAATTCGATTAGATCGTCTGTTCTGTTTGAATGGGCTTCCTTTGAATATTATTTCGCGAATCCATGAAACGCTGCCAATACACAATGAGAAACCACGTCCGAGGAAGAGAGCAAAGGAGGAAGACGGAGAACAAGTTGAAAGGGGTCGATTAATGGCGTAAAGAAACGATAAATAATTATTACTTAGCGCTAGGGATAAAAGAAGAGAAAAGAGGGTAGCGCTACCGAAGGTCACCACCTGCTAGTCTCGTCTGTATCGTTATTCGGTTACACAATGCATACAAGGAAACAATATTTAATATAATCAATTTAATTAACATTATACTGTACTACTTATAAATTACATTAAAAACAATGAACCATCGCAAACGGATCTTTTAACATGCCCTTTGGAATGATCAATTAATAAAAGTAATAAAAAAGAATTTTCCAATCTTATATATAATGTATGATATCGTGACTTCCAAACTCATAATATTTGCATTTGCACCGATATTTTGCTCATATTACCAGCTTTTATTTCTAGCCATAAATGTCTCGATAAAGTAAAATGGAAATTTATTTATTATAACGTTACGAAGTGTTCGAAACATCACCAACATTAATTTTACCCTAATATTTTTTTTTCTTATCATATAACAGTTTATAAAATATTAAGTACTACATATTATTTCTTTTAGTAATAGTTGTTCGCGCATAAAAACATTTTGTATTGGTATTATCCAAAAGACTACAACAAAGGCAGATAACTCACAAATTAATCTGATAATAAGTCAACTGTGACATTAATTAATGCTTGAATTAATAATCTACTAGTAAACAAAATGGTAAGTTGAATGTGTAGTACAATTGAGTGGTTTAGTACCAGTTTTGCATTCAATATGTGTCTAATGTTTTAGACAAATTAATTATTCAAAACTGCGAGAAGTATTGTTAATTCTTTTTGATCGTTCTAATTTTTTGAATTGAATTGAATTTATTTAAAAGGTCATAGGCTCTAAGTCGAGCCCATAGACCGAATACATTTTAGGGATATGTACATGTTTACATATACGACATGTATATATTTACATATGCTTACATGAGTATGAGGTTGAATTATTAACAATATTATGCATGATAGACGTGCAAGTTCTAATAAGTGTTATGGAGGAAGGAATATAAGTTGTTCCAATTTCTTTTTGGTGCAATTTTGTGAAAAACTAGGGTATCGCCATCTAGCGGTGAAGCTAGAACTAAAATTCCGACATTCAGCGTCTCTATTGACGAAAATCTGAACTATTTTCGAAGTTTAGTCAGCGCCTCTATCGGGAAAATGCCCAAGTTTGTCCTCAAGTAGTTCCTTTTTCTACTGCTAGTTGACGCCATTAACTAATTTTATTAAAAAAGTACCGTAAAAGCACATAAATTTATGTGCTAAGCAATCATTTAATTCTAAAATTACTATTTTGTAAATTAAAATTGTTTTACACTTAATTTTTTGTATCCTTTAGTTAATGGCGCCATCTAAGAGAAACAGGGGAACAATTCTCACTACAAACTTGGGTGTTTTACCACCGATGGCGCCACTGATACTAAATTCAGTATTAATATATTTGAAAAGAAATTAATTTATTTAAAATAATTTAATGGATAGTCCGATGCTTCTCAAGAAAGAACCAACGCGCATAAATGCGGTCAAATAATTTAATACCTTAATAATAATCCATATTAATAATCTACTAGTAAACAAAATTTTTGTTTACTGATGGCCACCGTCATACTCTGATCGTTGCAAATAAAGGAATAAGAAAAAACTATGTATGGTGGGAGTGGATTCAAATAAATAAGATACGTTTTTCATTTAATTTTGGTTTATTAAAACAAGTAATCTTTTAATACATCATTACATGTCATCATTACAATTTTACATCGTCACAACCTTACACCATCGTATCATTACACGTAATCTTTTAATACGGAGGACAATTTTACGGTATAAATACGACAAACCAAAGGTTGGGAGACGGGTTCAGTTTGTTCATCGTTAAATGAAAGTGCCATTTCCATCCCCGTGGAAGCGCAGATGTCGAAATGCAAATAGATTAATACTTGCAATTAGTTAATTAACTATTAGAATATCGTAATATGTTTTGAAAACAATTCAAAATCTCGATTTTACGTAGTAACGTCGAAACTGACCTATCTTTCCAGTTTTTAATTACTTTGCAATGAACCTTAACATTATTATGTCATAAATTTAAATTAATTCCTATATGTATACGTAGCTAGATGTACATTAACGTTTAAGATTTCGAAACATATTTGATAGATCAATTAAACAATAACTAGCATAGGAATCTAAATACATAAAGGAAAGTAATAATAATTAACAAGTAAATCAAATTACAACAAATGATGCGCGATTTGTGAGGAAATATTTTTCAACTGAATGATGGAAGAAATTGTGTTAATATAAAAGAAAACTTTTCGTTTTTTCTTTGTGAGATAACACCTTTAGGAAGCACCCCACGTTTAGACGTATGTAAAACCGGCCCTGGTTCTATAACACAGTGCCATAGTGCCATTCATTGATTGCGCTTGTCCGGTGCCATATTCCTCGCTCGGGCAGTGGTGTTTATTGCGCAAGACCAGATCATCAACGTTTCGCCATTTTTGTTGACCATTCAGCAGTTCCAACGAAAACGGCTATAACCTGTTCGTTACTCGTACGAGTGGCACTGGATATCGATACATCTCGATCAAGATCGAGAATTGTCATTCGTGGTTACGCTCGAGATTCTTTCCCCTCCTTTCTTTCTTAAGTTGTATTTTATCTGTATACAGACATAACTACGTATATTGGTCGTTCCTGCAAGTTTTGCCGATAAAATTACGTGTCGATAACACGTGAGTATTATTATTTTCTATTTTCTACGGTCGATTTTGGATCGGATAAACAATGACACGTACGAGAATCGATGAAACATTTTACTGTAACGAAACTAGAAGTAGAATCAAAGAAATGAATTAGTAGTTTTAGATTGTTTAAAACTGTTATTTCAATCCTTTGTTACACGTTTTTAAAGTTATTGTTCGGAAAACATGTAATTTTAAGTTATATCGCAAAGTTAACACTCGCTTCGAAAACAAAATACAAAAGGGAAATTATAATCGATCGACAGATACATGTGTTATAAATTCGTAATTTACAGAAGTATAGCATTTAAGTATTTAGTATTAAGTATTGACGACTACACGATTTACCTACTATTTTCAATTTGCCGTTTTTTTATTTTAGATGGGAATTTTTTTTATCTCTTTTAGGCACCGATCTAAGGACCTCTATATTTAAAGTCCGCAAAACATTGCATCTCATTAAAAAAAAAACCGCCAAAAAATTGTATATATTTCTATTATTTTTATTGTAGTATTGCATGCATGTATGTATATCGTTCATTTTTTGCTTGATATTGTTCATTATTCACAGATCCGTGAATTTTTATAATAATTATAATAATAATAATAAGATAATTCAACAAATTGAAGGATCTATGAACAAAGAACCAATATCTTCAGGCCTCATACACAACACAGTAATAATAATAATAATAATAATTAACACATTAAAAATAATAATTTTATTATCTCAAGACTCTTTGTTTTAGTCGCCCTCAGAATTCATAAACAATACAATAGATTTACTAAATTAACATATACAAAAATTTATTGGAAATTAAAGTACAAAAGAATATTTTTATGGACTAATAATTAACGAATTCCATTTTATGTAAATGCAGTTAATTCACTGTAACATTTATAAGTTCCGGAGGAGATCATAAACAGGCTCGAGACATAAATAAATGATAACTTGTTTAAAACTACAAAATAATCATTCTTAGGTTGTATATACACACACACCTTGTCTATGAACACGTTAATTAACATGTTAATGTAAATTAGACCAAAAATATATACATGAAGACTAACAGTGGCGTTGCTTGACACACATATCTCCATGTATATTTATTATCAAAACAGTAGTTCCCTTTCTATCTTCCACTATTTCATATTATGATTTCCATTGTAACTCGGAATTCAAGAAATGTATAAATTGTATGTATAAAGTACAAAAGGTGTATGAATTAAATTCATAAATCCAAAGCTGTATTACGAATTAAAAATTGTGAATTAAAATCTTTCTTTTCAAATATATGAATTCCATAGATGCAAATGTCTGGGTATTTGTGATAAAAATGTACCAATTTCCGAGTCCGATATTACCGGAAAATCAAGTTTGGAAAATGATCGTAAACTGTTTATTATAGAGAAATTTTCGTTTCTCGAAATCGATATTGGGTTAGATTAATATTTTATGTATACCTTGTTTTGCCATGGACTGTTCGTGTTTCGCGTAAACGATAAAAAAAGAAAAAGTTAAAGGGAAAGCAGAAAATTACAGCAGAAAAAATTCTTCCGCAACGGAATATCGAGCCCGTTGAAATTTCTAGCACGCACGATTTCTTTGGTTCTATAGGTCGCTGTTCATCTCTCCGTACCGTGCTATTTTTGGACTCTACATAGGTACGGAGACGTTTAAGCGATTTCACAGTAATAGAAGCCGAGCAGACAGATGCAATTACGAAAATCGTGGCGTCGGTATATCGTTCAATATCCGCAAATTGTGTGTATCTCTGATCCAGTGGTTCTTAACTTTGTCATTGTCGCAGCACACAATTTCAATGAAGTTTCTTACAGCAAACATTATCTCATTAGAAACACGTCAAATTGAATGAAAACTTTTAGACAAAAAGAGCGTTAAGAATATTACACACGTATTTCTTTTTTGTCAGCTGATATTTATGTTACAGGCGCGCAAACTACCCTTGAAATAGTAAATAAAATCACTATTCAGTTAGATATAAAGAGCAGTTTAGAGATAATCATTTTCCAGTCCCAAACAGTTTATTGTTCATATCACGTCTCAACTATATACTTATATTCAGAATGTACAGATGTTACGATTGAATTCAATGAACTCAATTAAAGTATAAGAAAATGTAATTATCGTTTTCAAACGAAAAATCATGATTGTCAATGAAAACGGTTTTTAGTATTCGAGATATTTTTATTACTGTAATATAATATAAGTATGAAATATTTATTTCATACAATATTTCAGAAAAGAAAAGAACTGCTCAAAGTAGTTAGGCTACGGGTCCCGATAGTCTGGATCCGCTACTGTTTAGTAGTGCGTATCAGGAAGGAATGTAAATTCAACAGCGGCGAACAGATGACGCTAATAAAGAGAGGTCCAAATTTTAACCCATAAGACCCGCGTTTCTTTTAGGATAATCCTTTTCAGTTCCGGACAATAGCTGTTGTTTTCAGAAGCACGTAAATATTTTTAATAACGCTAACTTTGTAGGTCCAAGATGCGTCGCTGAAACTGACAGTATTAACAATTCAAAAAACTTAAAGAAATAAATATTAAGATGTCGAATCGTATGAGAAGTGCGTTCAACGAAGATAAGATAGTGAACCAAGGAGCATCTACGTCATCCACTATATCGATCGAAAGTCCTGGCGATAATGATCCAAACGTAGCCGAGGTACAAGCCAAAGAATCATATACGTTACTTACTATTTGATCTCTATTTAACAATACATGTTCAATCAAAATATAGGATTAATGTTAAAAGTTTATACACAACATTTAATACAGTAGGATTACTATTTAATATTTGATATGCGTGGTGTAAGTTTCAAATATGAATATATCTCATTTGAGTAGGAAGTTCTCGAATTACTTTATGAATAAGGATTTAATTAATAAGATTATGTTCGTCTATGTTAATGTATGTTGCAGGTTGTACTTTCAAATAAAGGAGGCCCAAAATTGATTCATCATGGTTACATGTACACCCTGCACAAGAAACATCCATACAATATCAGATGGAGATGTGTTGGCAGAACAATGCATTGCAGAGGTAGCCTCAGCACAACACCATCCTGCACAAAACCAAGAGTGCTTATGGATCATAACCATAAACCTGATTTTGAAGCTGCCCAGGTTGCCAGGAAACGTTACTTGGCTCTTGGCAAACCTTGTGTATTAACAAGTGAGCTCATTTTTTTCCATTTTGAAAGCAACTTAACTTGTGCTGTGGTCTCTAAGTGACATTATTTCATAGACATAGAAGGGGACAGAAATCCTGCTATACCACAACATATCCTCAAAGAAAATGATAATGTATCTGAACAAAAAGGAATAAGACCAAAGACGCGAGCATCAGCCAGGAAAGGTAAGTTGTAATTGTTTAAAAATTTTTAAAGGTTACAATTTTAATAATTCTAATACCATAAAAAATTAATGTATATTTTGTACCATAAAAATGTTTTAATTTTGTTATATATATATATATACATACATTATATACGTATATAATACATCTGTATATATATGTATACATATATAATGTATATATAATGTATATATATATATATATATATATATATACGTACATAATACATATGTATATATAATTTATATAAAATATATATAAAATTTGTACGAATAAATTATTGTGTATTAACTCATAAAATGTCAATGAAAACTATTAAATGATTCTCCAGAGGAAACAGTTTCATAGGATCATTAATTGAGAAAAACATTATTTACAAATAATATACACATAAAGAATTAAATTTGTATATTTATAAAGACATCATTATAATATGGCGCCCAAAGACACATACCTCTTTTTTTCTGCCTCTTATCGCGATTCTAGATACTTCCCCTGTGTTGCAAAATTCGATACTTCTTTTTATTATACTTCAAATTAAAGTCGTTTAAATATTGTTTCAATCAAGTATCGATGTTGACAAATTCATTCGTAAGTCTTAACGATACAGAAAGTTTGGTATGTTAATCTACCAAAATGACGAGCAAGTTTAGAGTTACAAACCTGTTTAGAGTTACAAATGATTAAATATAGATTCACAGAATCAATTGCTACACCTAATACATAAAACATGTAGCAATATATAGAAACAAAACCGCATTGCAAAAGACCTTGCGGTTTTTCCGAAACAAAAATTCGAAAAATCATGCCTCTGGACGGGAATTCCCCCTCGATACCAAAAAATAAACATCACAGAGAATAATCGCACGCGATTCTGGCGATCGAAACGTAACACGTCCCAGCTTCCACCCGGGAAACTTGAACGGGAATCGACTCGTCAACAAACAATCGTATTCGAACTCGAAGATGCGAAGACGATTAAACGCGCGACACTTTATAATTGCGTACTTGCGTCCCGTTTCCAATATGGCGGACATCTTAAAGATGCGCGCGAAAAAAAAAAGGGAGCCGTAGGAAGCGGTTCCCGATCGATGAGAATTCACGGCGGTCGAGCCCGAGTCGAACGTGATCAGGTCGGTTAGTAATTCCTTAGCGAACGAGAGACCCCGGGAACGCGCACGCGATAGCAACACGAAACACGGCACGGATAATATACGTTGACGACCGGCAGCGCCGTCGCACATGCGCGTCCTGACGCGCCCCTGTTCGTCCACCGATTTCGATTTTAGTCACTCCCGGGTTCGGCTTCGGGGAAAATCGTTCCGCTACTCGTAGACGAGGACCGTCAAAACGCGTCGTGAGAAAAAACGTTCCGTTCTTAAGCGGCGACTGCTCTCTCCGATCGAGGATAAATAAACGCGTTTCCACTCGTCGTTATTCGCGTTCGGCGATCTCTCAGGCTCGTGATGAGTAATCTCGTACGTCGGAGACGCACCACGATAGAGAAAAGTACGAAAATTTAGGCGATTCCAGTGTCGTTGATAGACGAACGACCGAATCTGTTACCGGTAGTTGTGGAACGTTATGCACACTGGGATACGCGATAGGAATACAGTGTTTGGTTTCGTGTCCGGCTGTTTGTCGAGAGTAACCGAACCCAGGTAGAGACCGGTGGCCAATTCCTACGTGAATTTCGAATATCACTCCGAGAAATCCGCTCTCGTCGAAGGGTCGATCAATTGTCCGCTCGTGGTTTGTCGGAACAACGGCTCTCTGTCGGGAGACACTGTACGAAAAACGAACCGGTTCGTAGCCGCGAATCGAAAGACTGTATCGAGTTAAGTGACACACCGTGAGAGAGAACAAAGAGAGAGGAACAGAGAAACGGAACGTAAAAGACAAGAGGTACAGTAGAGAACGACGACGTATCTGTGGCGTGTGCCACTCGATATCGTGCTCGGTCGCAACGGTTGCCATTTTATAGCCGGTCGCTCGACCGAGATCTTCGGGGAGGCACGAAGGAGAGGGAGTGACTGAGTAAGAACAGAGAGATGTGTGTATATGTGTGCGTGTGCCGTGTCAGGGCCGGCTTTACGTGGTACCGAACGATTCGCCGCATTGCCCGATTGAATCGCCTAATTCTTATCGACTAATTAAATCCTTCGTACTCGTACTATCGTTTTCATTATTTATGAATTTATATTCTTATTAATTGATTGAGTATTTTATGAATATACGATACAAGTTAATATGATAAGTTGCTATGCTAATACATAATCAAAACTATACTTATGCAAAACGACATAACAACAAAAGAATAACAAAATTTGATAACGATTAGACTTCGCGTATAGGTACATTGTAATGTCCGTCAGGTTGAGACTGGTCATGTATTTACAGTGGGTGTAGAATGTATTCGTACACCGATCAATTTCCCAAAAAACTTTTGTGTGAAATTGTAGTTTCTTAACTTCTTTTTTTATAATCAATTATATTTTACATATTCTCGGAAATCTCTAAGATAGATATAGTCCAAACAACATTTTCTAGTTAATATAATTTGTGAAATTAACAAAAAAATGCGAAAATTGGGTAAAAGTATAGAAGCAATAAGTATTTGTACGATTCTTATGACGAACCATTTACAGTAGAGTTTATAACATGAACACATTAGTTTATTGCTCCGTACGAATTAGAAAACATCAAATTTCCAGTAAAGTACTTTTAAAAATGGCTCTAATAGAGAAATGGAAAAAGATCCCATTTCTTATTAACTTCTAACTAATAATTTAGTTAGTTTGATGCTTAGAAGAGTTACAATAATTATAAAATCAAAAGGAAATCCCACGAAGGAAATATTATATACTCATAAATTAATGTAAATTTCTTTTTTTTTTTTAAAGAAGTTTTAAAAATTAAACAATTGTGCGAATACTTATTGCTTCAATATTTTTATCGATTAATTGTTTTCTTTTTGTTAATTTCCCAACTTACATAAATAGCTATTTTTTTTTTGTAATCTATCTATTCTAGAGATTTTCGAGAATACGTAGAATGTCATTGTTTATAAAAAATATGTTAGTAAATTACAATTTTACATAGTTTTTTTGGAAATTGATCGGTGTACGAATACTTTCTGCACCCACTGTAGATCCATTAATAGAGCAATAGTAATGGAGATAAGATTGAAGATTTAGAAAGTTTGTATTCTAATTTCACCAAATGACGAGTAACGTCTACGCTAATAATATTAGCTGTGTATTGTTTTCTTTTCAACATTTTTTTTTAAACGTAGTACACAGATAAGCATTTTTCAGTGCTATTTTTTAGTAAAATGACAAAACCGTTATGATTAAACAATTTAAATTAAATTTCTTCTTTTTTTTTTGTTATCGCATTGAATTTGTGACGAAACATGTCGACGTTTTTTAACAAAAAAATAATCAACTTCATCTACATACGAGCACGAAGGGGTTCGATGTAATTAAAAGTTTTGCCGTCGAAAGTAATTGCTCGCGATGATTGAATTAATCGTAAACCACTCACGATGATTGACATTTAAATTGATCGTAAATCACACATAACTATTGACATTTAATCGTTCAATTTCTGTGATGTTACTGTATTCTTATTAAATAATAATAAATTATCAGATTACTTGAAGTTTAGGTTAATTAAATGAATTGTTAGTCACCTTTGACAATCGCTGACTAAATTAATGGTTATTCTACCGTAGTATCGCAACTTATTATTGAGAAGATTAATGTAACATTGAGAATGAATCATTAATTTAATTGTCAATTATGCAAGGTGGGAAGAGAACTCCAGAAATCAATAATGAAACCATAATTATCATATTCGATCATAAATAACCATAAATTTTGCTAAGGTAGACTCTGCTAAAATTATTCACAAGCTTTTCTAGTTTAAAAACGAGTAAAGCTAATTTTTAACAGAATTATTTACGCTTTTCGGAAACTTGTCCCATAATGTAATATTATCATTCACCTATATGTTTTTGTAACGTATTTGATACATGTTACTCGAAACTTAAAGGCTCAGGTGTCACTTGTTTTTAATTTGAAACATGGCTTAAAAAGTGGCGCCAAAATTGGAAATCGCAACGGGGCCGTGGTGACACTATTGTCGGCCCTGTGTACGTGTTTGGAGTATGCGCCCGCGTGAGAAAAAAAGTGCGACGGAAAACGTCAGTCCTTGGGTGGGGAAAAAGAGAGGGGAAATGTAGTAACAACGAAGAGGAGGGTGAAGAGAAGAAAGACAAGCTTTGCAAAAGGTGTAGAACGTACAACTTTTCATAGATGTTTTTTTGGACCGTTCACGATTACGCTCGATGAATTTAGGGAAATATATCTTCTATACTTCGTTGTTCACCTTTCATGGCTTTGACTTCTGACTGTAATATCGATCTACTCAGATGCAATGATGTGCGAACGACTATCGTTGCGTTCTCATCGGATAAATCGTTAATACGTATTATCCGTGCGTCGTCTGTCGGATGACGGTACGACGTGTTGAAAGAAGATAGAGTAATAGGACGATACAAAGAGAGGAGAAAGATAGTTGCGAACATGTCTACGTATTTTATCTACTCGCCAGACGGTTATCGTTAGCGCTTTTTATGAATGCCAACTTTTAGGACCGTTATACTGAAAAACGATCATTGCAGCCATGAGTGGTTCTCAAATTCATATCGATGTGGATTTAATTGCGATTTATGTAGAATATCTTCTACGTATATTTAGAACCACGTGGAATATATTAGGTCATCCCATAAATAATGTTGGTTCCAACGCTAACTTAAATTTATGTTTATTTTTAATCATAAACGTATTAACTATCTCATTTCTATAACCTTTCTCCATCTTTCGGTAGTTAGATGAAGTTTTGTCCCGAATGAACTCTTTAATGTCTCAATATCGAATGCTAACGGTTGACCAGACTCATTGCTTCATTGGTAAGGTCAAAATCATCATTTTGAAATTTTGAAAAAATTTCTGAAACTTTCGCAAATTTAAACCATGATCATCATGCACCCCGCAAATGATTTTAACACTACCTGTTGCTGTACTGTCTTTCTGAAACTCATACAAGATGCCGCAAATGGTTCTTTTTGCTTTCACTCGCTATAAAATTTAACTTGTGAATGAAAAGTATCAATTTAACTGCTTTGATCGCACGCTACAGACTTTTAACGACATAAACCGAAGTTTCGATAAATACGTTGTCAAGATGCGAAAAATATGTTTTTTTTTATAGTAACGTAGGAGACGATATTGCTTGTGGCATGACCTAATATTTTCATAACTAAATCTAAAACGAATGGGACTGTGTTGGTATCTGAGAATGCGCGTTTTCGTCCCGCAGAGAGTACAGTCTGCAGAAGAAACGGAAAACACTATCGGCGTAAGATCCGACTATAAAGCAACGCGACAGAGACGAAGCACGACGGCCGCGACGGCGGGTCGGCTTGTACTGGTGGCCTGCAAGGACACCTTGAAACTGACTACCCGCCATTTCCTGAAGGAGAAACGTGCCAAAGGTCGAGACAGGATCGCGTCTGCCAGTGAAGATACCGTGGAGGGTGTCAGATTCGAGGACGTCACGATGAAGCAGGAACCAGAAGACGAGGAGGACTGCTACTTCGAGGGAGGGGATATGCCGTCACCCTCGTCGTCACCGTCGTCAGTCAGCCGTCATGGGGGAGCCACGCCACGCGTTCGTTCCCATGCACGTAGCCTTCGAGCTATGACCAATCCTAGCGCGGTTTGGGCACACTTCGACTTGTGCGCAAATGATCCTTTGCGTGCACAATGCCGTATCTGCGGGGCGGTCGTAGTCAGAGGTGGCGCGAACCCACGACAGTGCGGTACGACGAACCTTCATCGGCATCTTAGGGTACATCACGGTGGCAGACTCATTGGCAGTCGTTATCACGGTAATGATATAGCACAGCGTTTTCCAAATTCTTTTTCACAGATCACTACTTGGTTCCGCCCAATCTAAACAAGAGACCTAAAACATAATTGATGATTAGAGTGATAAAATAAAATATATTCTGCGTTGATTAACAAGTAGTTTGAGTTTAAAGATGTTGAATTCCCTAACTAAAGAGATTTTTCTCTTGTATTATTAGGACTCCTGTTCAATATCCTCTGGAGAATCACTATAATGAGGAACATAGAGAAAAAACAATACTTAATCTTTGCTAGTATTAAAATCTTATGAGCTTTGTTGTTGACATTTATATAAAAAGTAGCAAAAATGATTTATTTTGCAGTATTACAATCACCATCTCAGTCTAATACAGGTGGGAAGACCATTAGGATAGCTGCACAGTCCCTGGTGAGACCTCACATTCGGAACATTGCGCCAGCTCCTTCTTCACAACAACAACAGCAGCAACAGCAACGCCAACCAAAGACTCTTGTGTTAAAAACGATACCTCTAAAAGTAAAGCAAGTCGCACCAACAACTATTAAAATGCCTCCTCGGCAAGCCAGCCAATCGTTACCTCATAATATCGTACATCAACAACCTACAGAGGTATCAGTCTATTAAACAGAAATCAAATATTTACAAATATTATTCATGTCTTCATTTCTATATCACTAATTTAAATGTACATTGGTTGTATTTCAGGTTTGTCTAAGATGGAACAGTTATCACAGTAACATGCAAAACAGTTTTCCATCTTTGTTAGATTCCGAGCAGTTTGTTGACGTTACCTTGGCCTGTGAAGGCCGTTCGTTAAAATGTCACAAAATGATATTGTCGTCGTGTAGTGATTACCTCGCGGAGTTGTTACGTGAAAATCCATGTCAGCATCCAATTATTTTAATGAAGGACCTTAAATTCTGGGAAGTCGAAGCGCTAGTCAAATTTATGTACCGTGGCGAAGTTAACGTTCCTCACGATAAATTGCCGCAACTGTTAAATGCGGCTGAAGCGTTGCAAGTGAAAGGATTAGCTGGGCCCAATCCTTCTTCGCAGGTGAAAGACACGTTTTATTCTTGAAATGACCGTTACAAAATTCATCGGTATTCGTTTGACGAATTATGTTTTTCATTTTCCAGAATCCAAAGCCGCCACTGCTTATTCCGCAGTCGAAACCATTAGTAACTCAACCAGTAGTTCCTCGAGCCACTTCAGAGACCAAAGAAAAAGCTTCCACTTCCGGAGTTACTACACCATCTAGTCCGAAACGTGCGCAAAAGCGACAACATTCAGACCCCATCGAACCAAAACCCTTTACAAAGATACGCTTACAACGACCAGTCACACCAACATCGCCTACTATTGCAGTTAAGATGGAACCGTTAGATATACCTCTTAGCCCTACGATATTTTCTGAAAATAACGAGGACAGTTCGACTCCCTCAAATTTCGACAAGCTAATGAGTTTACACGAAGATGACGATCCAGGTGGCAATGAAACCACAGACGGCGAAAGGGAAATTTTCTGCGAAATTCCTGAACCACCTGATATAAATGATAGTGAAGATCAAATGGAATTTGTACCTACAGACTTTTTAGACCAAGAACAAGATATAGTCGAGGAAACGGAAACTGCCTCAAATAAAGATAGTAAAGAAGAATCCAGAGATTATAGTTCGATTGAGATTGAAGATGGTGAAAAATGTGAAGTTGAAAAGGAACAATCTTCAAAAGAAAAGAAACCTGTTTAGTAAGATGATCATTCAATGAATCTGAAAGAAATTTATTTAATATTGGAGCGTTTGATGAAAGGCGAGAACGAACATAACAATGTCGATGCTTTAATTTTTTTTTAAGGATTATTAAGGTAATGCAGTATACATACACATGGTATACACAACTTTTGTGATATTGTTATGTGTAAACTATTATTACCAATTATTTTTTGTATGTATGTTGTTTTAATTTTATTTGTTTCCGATCGGTTGAAACATAGAATACAATACATAGTGAATTGAAACTCTATGTTATAATTTGTTCTCAGAAAAGTATGACAAATATTTCGTTGACTGTGTAAATAGAGTATACGTAATTAAACAGTAAAATTATTTTTACCATTTACTGTGCGAATCGTAGCGGTAATATATATCTTTCGAATGTCTTCATAAAGTTCACTGTTCGAAATTAATATTTCCATATGAATCATTACGTCATTACGATTCAAATGGGAATTATTAAATTATACAAAATGATTCATTGTATATATTTGTTATATACAAAGTACCTATAACCAGGTTTATTGTGTGACTCGAGAAGCTTCTACATGATATATGACTTCTCCTATTTTAATTATAATTTTTTTTAACAAATCGAACTACTCCTCCATATTGCTCTAATCTTATTATTCAAAGATAGATTTGGATGTTAAATATGGCTAATCAAGTTTAACAATGTGACTTTTAATTTAAATTATTAATTTGTCTCGTTTTTTAAAAGAAAAGTTAATGTACCTGTTGAATTACTATCAGTTCTTGCAGTATAATTTATCAAGACCCAGTACAAAATTAGTAATTGTGAATCATGTTAAACAACTTCCAATAATCTTTATTTCATAATTTGTGCTGTGTAAAAGATTGTTTATTCTGGCATTATATTCCTTCTATATACATATGCATATTACAAGCTAAGTAGATGTCTGATTTCGCTAATAAATCGATGAAAAAGCAATGCATTTATACGTTAGTCATACGTAACCATTCATTATTATTAGATAAGATTGCCAAATCGATCCGTTGAAACGTAAATTGAGGATTCATAATCATCGTACTTTTTATTGTTATTCCAATTTTAGGTTTTTAGATTATTCTATAAATTTTATTTTTAGAAAAAATCTGCACAGAATTTTCTGTTTAATATTGTAAGTACGCATTATATTGAAGTAATTATGTATATGATACATACTAAATCGAAGATATCTGCGAAATTATGTTTAATGTAAAAATACGTGCATGATTGGGCAGTATGTGTAAATTGTAACATGTGAAATTATGTCTTATAAATAAATTGCTATAACAATGTGTAGCAAAATTATTACTTGTATTCTTCAATACATGTCCTATAAAAGATACGTGTATCTATAGAACTATTAGTAATCTAACATTCTAACTTTACAAGTTTTTGTATTAAGAAAGTAAAAATTGATCGACCTAAAATGGAGTTATAGTGAAAAAAATGTTTGTTATAATTTGTTTTCAAAATACGTAAGCGAAATAAAAAAAACGTACTTTGATATATCTTGTATTAGTAAAATATTACGAATTGTACCACAAGAATATAAAAAAATTGTAATGCAGATAAATGTAAATTGGTATGAAATATTGATTATCGTAGTTTAATAACTAAAAGTATATTTCTCATGTTTCGTGTTTTAATTAATTAAATTAAATGTAATACAAATTCTTTATCTATACATATTAGACACAAACATTGTTTTCTATTTAATAAGGCTCCTTTGAAAAAGTTTGGAAGCTACTGACTTGGAGTCTCAAAATGAACGGCTATAAGTAAACATATATAAATTCTCAAAAGAGAAACAAACTCTTTCTAACCTCACTTTTTAATTTCATTGTATTTTGCTTTCATACATTATTCATTTAGTATCATTTTCTTGTCACTTGCATATCAATCTTCTAGTTTCATTCCTTCCAAACGTTCCACATTCAAATTATACATACACTTCTAGAGTGTATATATAATACGAATATTTCATCATATTTTATTTTGCATTTCATTTTATGCTAATATTCGAGTTCTAACATCTATAACAGTATTAATAAAAAACAATTAATCGATGAACTTGAGATGAACTTGTATGTGAACTTAAAAAAATGTTGTACTTTAAATGATACATAAATTAAATTAGTTCTTCAATTTCATCGAAATAAACAGAGGTTAAGCTGCTTTGGGTTACTTTATGGATTGATATTTAAAATACAACTAAACATCATTTCGTGCCTCTCTAATTTTAATAGAAAATTGTCGATATAACCGTGCCAATATAAATGAAATTTCTATGTTCATTTTTTTGTAATGCAATATATGTATTATACTTGTGGTACAAAGAAGTATATATTTTTTAATTTGCTATGAACGTTGAGTGTTATTTTATTTCGTGTAAGAGTTCATTCATCTCTAAACAACATGTATATAGGTATATACTTTCATTACTAAAATTCTCATTGCAGAAATTGCTGATTTGATCCCGAAGTAGGTCGCGAACTGTGATGGCGCCACATTATCATCACCCCTCCCCTTACCGAACTGTCAAATCGAGGAACGTTGTTTGTATACGAAATTTTCAGTTTTCAGTCTTAACTACGGTCCGGGGGCTTCGAGCGAGTGAATAAGATCAGGTTCGTACTCGTCTGCGTTTTTATGACGGAATATATCAATGTTAATTCGCGGTGTCCTTCCATTTTCACGGGCGAATGGAAATCCTGAGAATTGGAGTTGACCGGCGCTGCTACTACCACCTTTCCTGTCAATTTCTCCTTGTCCTTTTTCCATTTCTCCTGGCCACCCTTTTTCTCATACATTTTTTACTTTTCAACGCGGTAGAAGAAATAATTTTTTTCTCTCTTCTCGCACAGACCCAAGACCCCGATGCAAATTCTTTGTTCGATGTGATTTCGCTACGAGCTCTTTGTTTTCCGTTTTGCCTTATTTCTCTTAACCTAACTGGAAAGCAAATCACTGAACCGCGAGTAACTCAAAACTAAAATTATTGAAACAAAGTTTCGATACTGACGGACCCATTGATTACTTTCGATTCGTCGACACACGTTAATGTGTTAGTCTGTAAATTAAACGATTCGAGCTCGCTTGTATCAGAATATTCATTGTCGGTGAACATATATTTAGCGAACTGTTCGGATCAGTTCGATGCCGCGATTAAACGCGATTGAAATGTATATATAAAGTTTTTCCATGCTTCGTGAAAATGTTCATTTGTTTCTACATGAGTTTTTTAATATTTACACTTTTATCTATAACAGTGTTATCTGTTAGTAATTTTAACCATTGTTAATTGTATACTATAAACGATCTTGTTGATATTGGCTGCAATATTTCACTGTCTAGAAAATATTCTGGTAAAACTAGATTTTTAAATAAGTTGCTTGAACGTAATGATTCCAGGATGAATCGAACAATGGATGAAAAAGAAGAGTTGGTGAAAAAGTCCTTATTTAGTTTTGTGAGAAAGGAAGTGCCTACTGCCCAATTAAGGTAACAAAATTGAGATGGTCTATATTATTTGTAGTAATGTGCAATACGTTGAATTTAAATACATGTAGTTTTATCTTGTCTTTCTGTAATAAAAAAAATATTTTTTTGTTCAGTTTAATAGATGATATTGTCCTGAGTTATGTAGTGAGTATGGTAGAAGAAAATGCTCTTGAGGATGATTTGGATGTTGATGGATTGTGTGAAATGGTCTCAGCTTGTCTTCCTGAGTTTTCAAAGATTGAAAAGGAAGCAGTATCCAAGTGGCTATTGGATGTCGAAAGTAAATTACGACAAGAAAGTAAAGAAACTGAAAATTGTCAGCCTCATGATCCTTTAAGTCATATTAGTTTGACTGCATTATTACCTCCTGGTACCCAAAGTATGAGAGTTCATCATCTCTCAGAAACAAGTGATGCTGGGAGTGATTCTAGTGGAGAATACTCCTCAGAAGTAAGTTTTTTTTTCATTTTACAATTTATCATCTATTTCACATTTTAAGAAAAAATTTAATTTGCTAACTTGCTAAAAAACTAATTTCTTTGTTTCATTAGGAATCATTTTGGCATCAAGTAGCACTTTTGCAAGAAATGTTTCCAGCAGCAAGTCTGGCAGAGGCCAGACACTGTTTAGCAGTTGCTGGTGGAGATATAGCAAAGGCAGCTCAGCTTGCGCTTCATCGACAGGAAGCAGGGCAGAGCATTGTCAGTAATCCTACATTTTTAACTGTAAGTATTATATCATTTAAATTAAATTATTTTTCCTCCCCAGAATGGCATCAATTAAAAAAAAAAAAAGTAATACCTGCAATGATTACAAAATTTCAAATTAAAAAAAATAACGATCTATCAAATACACATCAGTGTCGTGCAAAATATAATTAATGATTATGATTAACTTTTAAAGATTACAAATTATTGATTATAAATGTATGTTTATGATTATTGATTTATCTGATAACTGTGAGTAATTATTAGAAAAGTAATCACTGTCCAACTCTACATATGCACGCGCATAGATTCTTACAGTAGTGAAACGGTTAATTATCAATCATAAGTTAAACGACATAAAATAGCTTAATTATCTTGTGACAGCCGAACGCTCGCAACAAGGCCAGAGTGAACGACGAGGAACTGAAATCACGTATCATTGCACGATACAGTTACGTCGATAGGGATGATGATTCGCGTGAGCATCGTCCAGTCGCTCCGAAAACAGAACCGAAAAAGTTAGTGCGTTATCTCGATAACAAGATTGTGAGCGTAAAAGGTGAACGCTATACCGAAGTGAGAAGGGGTGGCGAAGAGGAGGATGGCAATGAAGGTGGCAGGAGACGAGGTCATTCCCGGCCGTAACCAGTCCCTTTGCCTCCACCCCCCGATCCACCCCCTTGGAGGCATCTGATTTAAGATAAAGCTTTTACTTAGACTCTCTTCTTGCTTATAGAGGAATACGGACAGGGTGTTGAATTCTTACGTACGCAGCATTAACTTTTTGTTCCTTTTCAGTTAAATTTGTCTCATCCAGTCACTATTATCAATTTTAGAGATATCTTTTTATTATTCTTTTTTATGCGTGATATTATATTTATGTGATCTAATGCAAGAGATTTGTAGCATTGGAAACCGCAATCGCGCAGTGTACCGTTTACAATACGAAATCATAGAAATTTGTTCTGACGACGGTACAGTTTGCGAGTACTACATCGCAGTATAAGTACCTGTTTAATGTATACTATTTAATTTACTATTGAATTTTGTTTTAGTTTTCTGTCGAGCGTACAATGGTCACAAAGATAATGTATCCATTATTTGGATAATTTGTAAATGATAAAATTGTAAATGGTCAAATGAACAAATCCCGAAGGCAATTTATTTTTGTTCATATTTTAAAATTTTATTTTATATTTTATTTGTAAATACCTATAGAAAATGAATTTCTATTTATTGTCTTTATAAGAATATAACGTTTGCATTACCATGTTTTCATACGGAATTCATTTGCAACATAAAATGTGACTAATGTAAACTCGACTTTTAACTTAAAACTTACTTTTCTCGACTTCATATAAATAATTATACTTTGCATTTTTACCCATGCACTCCTTCGGTGTCAAAATAACATGCATTTTTGTTTTAATTTATTAAGCATATTGTGTGTCTCATTACGTTTTTTTTTTTTTTTTTTTTATTAGTGAGTACTGTACGATTGTTACATTACTGTTATTATTAAGTCAATGAACACGTGCTAATATCTGTTCAAGTAGTTTAGGATTGTATATTTTATACTATTAGAGTAGAAAACTCAGTTGATTATTTTCAAACATTATCGAAACCAAGTGAAGATCCCTCTCCCTTTTTCTCTTACCATGTATCTAATGATGTTGCATTTAAGGACGTTAAGATAATAAGTGATATATCCTTGCGAGAGAAACAATTTCTTGCAAATGCGCTAAAAAAAAAACACTAAATACAACAAAAACTTTAGGAATTTTTATGTGCACATTTACTTGAAAACGTCACGAAATTCAAAATGAATACCATTCCAAGCATAACCAGTAATAACGAACTATAATATAATTAGAGTTCATCAAACAATACAGTGTTGATTGTAAAGGTAAACATTGTCTCTGTAATTGAAGTAAACTGTGCGCATACTAAATCTTTTAGTATACAAATTATTATCGAATTGTAGGTTTCGGATAATGAATTTTAGTAGATGTATTAGGTAGGCAAAAAATATATTAGTGTAGGTGTGTGTATGTGTGTGTATACATATATATTCACATGCACACACGCATACATGTACTAGATATCTGAGCGGAATAAAATTTGCTTACCGCGCCATATAATTTACCAGTATTACTATTGTTATTGCTATTATTGCAAACTTTAAAGTGTAGGCAGATGTAATCATTAAAATATGTATTAGGATACTAACACGTTGAGTGATGTACACTCAACAATTATGGTGGAGTGCGTGTTTTGACAATGAATCAATAGAAACACCAAATTGTCATGACTAAACACTGACTATCATTGATGCAAGATGTGTAATTATATGAAAATATAAATTTTGTATTATCATATTTTATTTAGGCCCATTGTTGTATTATTCGGTCACTGGTATTGTTGAATTTCATTTACATTCTTTTTTTATATTATTTTATGAAGGATACAATGTACTGTTAATATATTTGTTTATAGTCTTTCGGTTTAGCAATTGGATTTGCTTAATAAAAGAAACAAATTTGTGAATACATTATAATGATTTTCAGTTGGGCCAATCCTTGCCATAGATGATTATATGAACTATAAATGAGTCATATTATTTTTAATAATTATAATTATAACATGAACAACACTGTATTCGCTGTAAACTAAATGTATTCTACTGCCAATTAATCTCAGACGGAACATTGTTGCTCTAAGATTTCCGAAAGTATGTGTAATAGAATAAGATAGAAATATTAAAAATAAATAAAAATATGAAAAAAATAGTAGAGAATAAGTAATCACCATGAAGTGGAGTACTTTAGTTTCCTGCGAATTTTCTGTACATCCTTTAATCTAACATATATGTGTATTTTGATCAGCAATATTGACTGCACCTATGATCATTATGTGTAATTTCATAAAAGTGTGTTATTAATATCATATAAAACTTAAATTTATTAAGATATATTTATATACATATATCTTCTTTTATATGAAAATCAAAGTCTAATTATTATTGTTTAAAACCATAGTTCTGTGGTTTATTTTTTTTTTTATTATTTAGAACATGACATAAATATTGAATCCATTTAGTAATATTTCACCGATGATAAAATGATCTTCCTAATTAAGTGATTCTAAAAGAAATCGACATTCGTTTAAATGGAATTTTCTTGTAATTAAAAAATAACATTAATTTAGGTAACATTGAAGTATGATAACACCAAATACAAAGTATGTAATTAGAATATTATATCCCGTGATGATATTAGCGAACTCCGGGGCCTTACAAAGTGATTCAACAAAATTGCAAAAATAGTCGTATTTTACTTTCTCATACACAGATTTTTCATTTTCCATGATATTAATGTACGCAATGTAAAAATCAGACACGCAAAATGCATAAAGACGTCAAACAAATGTTAACTATTTTTGTTTCTATACTCGTATTTCCGCGTTGTACAAGATACTTTCGCAATTTTTTATATATATAAAAAAAAAAACGAATCAAATAGTACGAATTTACGAGCTATTATGACCACACATTTGTGAATACCTTTTTACTTGTAAGTGTGTTATAGTTACTTAATTTTTTATAATATCATCTGTTTTCTTAGAATATTCATAAGATAATACAATAATTATATCAATTAAAATATTTTCAAAATTGTAATTGATTATAATTATAGTTAATCATTGTATTGAGCTAAAAAAAAAAAATCGCTACCTTGGTTAATAATTATAAATTTTGTTGACATAATAAACGAATGGTTTTCTCTTTAATTGGACTGTTGTAAGTTTTGCCACGATAATTGTATAATTTATACGAAACTAGAATTGTTTGTTAACAATTCACTGTTTTTATACATATATATTTTTTTGGTATGAGTAATAAATTTTTATTTCTATGTGAATAGTACCTAAGCACACTATTAATGAGAATGAAGAGTAAGTAGAAGTCCTGGTAGAAAGGATGTTAGCTTAGAGTTATGTTTTATGCGTCTAAGTACATACGACGATGTGTATGCGATTACTTTTTTTAAATCTCTGTACAAGGGGAGGGGGGTGAAAATCTTTTGAAAATGTACGATCTGTATTGTATCGAGTATTTATTATTTGTGCATGTAATATGCATTTTATAAAAATTACGGATACCTATTGTCCATCGAGTACCCATTTAATAATCGACTTAATTTTGAACATCGTTTTGTTTCTAAACTATCAAGCAATACATTCGCTATTTATGTATTTAATATATATGTATCGTTATTACTAATAATTGTGCGCTAAGACTCGATTTAGGAACAAGTATTCCCATTTATATTTTTTCCTTGCTTATGGGTAAGGATTCCGAAATTCAATAAATATAACTATACAAAAAGAACATGGATTCATTTTCGTTGGAAAACCTTTTTCTTTTCACGCATTTCTCCCACTTCTATGAGATTTCGTATGAGGGTAATAATCAATACAGTTGGCACAATATCAATTGGCCACTCAAGGCCATTTTCCTAACTGTATATCACATTAGGTACGACTTTTATATTATGTTAACAACCATACGATGTAGGGGGGATAGCCCCTTTTTAATGACCTTCAGTTTCAACGGCTAGTTGATTTTGTACCACCACAGTAAAACACCAATATACATAGATGTTTCATATGTTACGGCATACGGTGTTTTATTCGTAAAACGAATTACAATGCCTTTGAAATCGTAACAAATAAATAATGTCGTTCACGTAATATTGCATTACAAGTATTCTCGTGTAAAATTAAATCAAGGTACGTTTGTATCGTGTGTAGTACATACATATGACAGGCGAGTGTAACATTTTCGTAATGATTAATAATGAAGTATAATATATCAATCGGTTCGTTTTCATTTAATTTCAGGAATACCAAGAGGAGTTACTCGGACGTACACTTGTACCAGGCGATTTCTTTTAATCTATAGATAAAACATATTTCAAAGGATCTGTATCTGTAGTTTGATTGTGAGATGGGTGGGCGTATTTCGAGGGCACAAGGTATAATTAGAATTAAAAAATAAAATCCGAAACGAGACTGAACTCCACTTTTGCAAAGTTCCATTTACGACAACATAAGCGACCTTCAATTCTTACATTTTCAATTTTTCAATTCTACACAGTCTCTAAAGTATATTCGTTTACACATTTGAATGAATCACGTTGTGTATGTAAATATAAAACGCTGTTGTTTGATGTTACGTTACAAAACCTTATAAAACCATTGCAATTTGGTTACGTCCGTTGCCAGCAATAAATAAGTTCCTCTATCTATTGTTGATCTTTTGTTTGAAAAATGTCGAGTAAGGCCTGTTAATAATCGTATAGAAAAATGTAGATTGGAGAAAACGGAATAAGAGCAAAGCTATGACGGATACCGTTCACTTGAACTTTAACAATGGTACTATTAAGGCAGGGTTCTGGTTTGTTCAGATGAGAAATCAATTCTAATAATTGTTAAGAATAAGAGATTACCACTCAATATTTTTTTCAATTATAATTTAAATAGTATGATCTTGTTTTCAAAGTAGTTTTTAAAAATCCTCCAATTTATCATCCAACATACCAGAACCCTGCCTTAATGTTTCAGAGGAAAATAAATGATGGACAGATAAAGAGAATTATTGTAGTTAAGTCCGTGCTCTATAAAAGAACAGTCGAAAAACTTTTCACAATTTGACTCTTATTTTTTCTTTTTTCGTGGCTTATCCTGTGGCGCCGGTAGATTCTCTTGTTTCCGTTTAGATGCTGGTTTCGCACCGATACTACCGCCCTTCTTTCGCCTTTCTTGTCTCTCCCGTTCCTCGAGTTCTTGATTCTCGCGTTCTATCAACGTGATCAAGGTATTGCATCGTCGCTGCAATTCTAAAGCCGTACGCGATTTTACGAACCAATCGAAACGAAATTGGGGAGCTGATCTGACTGTGGCGCGAAGCTCCTCGTAAACGTTCTCCTTGTCGAAGCCTAGTTTGTGTAACATGCAAACGAGGAACCGATCCTCCTCCTCGGTATAATTTTTTCCCTTGTTTGTTCCGTAGGCTATCCTCAATTGATGAAACGGAGCACGGTACCTGGCCATCTTGGCGTCTAGAGCTTTTTTAATTCCAGCTCGTCTCTGTATCTTCGCCTCTCCGCGCTCAATTTGAGCCATCACCCTGTCGATGTCTTGCAACTCGTGGCAACGTTCCCAGAAAACGGCTGAATACTCCATCACCTCCTCAGGCGTCTTTCCTTCCACCTCCTTTGCAATATTTTCGATATCGTCACGACCGTACTTCTCGTTCGCCTTTATGAACTGATTGAAATCTCTCTTGGTCCAATTCGTGAAACCTCGAGTGAGCAGTTTCTCCTTCTCCGCGATTTCCTCATCGGACAATGGTTGAGCCTCGTCTATTTTACGCTGTTCCTCTTTTTGAATTCTCGCTGCATCGGATCCAAGTTCCGGATTTTTCGGAACTTTGTATCCTACGGTTTGACGGAAGTAATAGATTTCTTGATCGAGCAACTCGAATAATCGTGGCGGGAAGAATTGAAAGTCCTGAACTATTGGCTGCTTCGGAGGCCTAGGTGCCTTTGGAGCTTTTGGTTCTGATACTCTGAGAGCTTCCCTGAAGTAAGCGTCGACCGCGTAGTTGGCTTTACGCTCTCGTTTAGGCGGTTCTATCCAATTACCAAGCCCGAGAATCTTTTGTTTTTCGCGGTAGTCCTCACCTTCGAATTGATATACCGAATCCGTGGGTGCATCTACAGTGAAGTTACGCAGAGACGATTCGCCCAAGCTTTCGAGCTTCTGCTTCATCTCCTCAGTTTTCGCTTCACCTTTTTGTAGAATGGTATCTATGTCTTCATCCGTGATAGCGCTATCTTTCGATGCAAACACTTCGTTCGCGCCATGCCTGATCATGTTTAGCATTTCATCCTTGTTCAGTGCTGTTTGCTTCGCATCGACTAATCGTCCTTGTTGAATAACTAATTTGTCTAAACGCAGTTTAACTTCCGCGCGCTCTACAATCTTTTCTTCAACAGTATTTTCTGTGATAAACCTGAATACACGGACTTGTTTTTGTTGGCCTATACGATGAGCTCGATCCATAGCTTGGAGATCCATTTGCGGATTCCAGTCAGAGTCATAAATTATAACTACATCAGCTGTTGCTAAATTTATACCTAAACCCCCAGCACGCGTCGACAACATAAAAATGAATTTCTCGCTTCCTGGTGCGTTGTATTCATTAATTTGACGCTGCCTGTCCTCGTGTGCTGTATTACCATCCAAACGACAGTATTGAAAACATCTCCAGTGGCAGTAATCTTCTAAAATATCCAACATTCTCGTCATTTGACTGAATATAAGTACCCGTGATTCTTGTTGTTGCAATTTTGGTAACAATTTATCCAATATCACCATCTTGCCACAATTATAGACGAGATGTTCGTCGGTCGTGTAAGGGGGTCCAGGTTCCGCCCCATCGAACAAATAAGGATGGTTGCAACATTTGCGCAACTGCATCAAAATATTTTGTAATCTCATTTTCTCAATTTTTCCGGCGCCGTTAACTATGTCTATGTCTTTCATGAGTACTTTAGTGTACCACTCTCTTTGCATTTTGCTAAGACCAATGTAAACTTTGATTTCTTTTTTTGGTTTCAGTCCTTTTTCGACTTCGGATTTCAAACGTCTTAAAAGAAACGGTCGGAGAACTGCGTGTAGTCTCTCAACCAATGAATTATCACCTAAGAAACTATTAGTATTGAACCAAGAGTCGAAATCGTCGGAACTATTGAATACATCTGGCAATAGAAAATTGAGCAAGGACCACAGTTCGTGCAGATTATTCTGCAGTGGTGTTCCAGTTAATAACAGACGATTAGCGGTTTTAAATTCTCGTAAAATCTCCGATAACTTTGATTTCTCATTCTTTATCCTATGAGCTTCATCAATTACCATGTAACGCCAGTTAAACTTCTTGAATACTGATTTTTCTTTTATGACCATTTCGTACGATGTTACACAAACATCCCATTCCCCAGGCATCATGACTTCTCTGATAAAGGTATTTCTAGTTTCTGCATCTCCAATGAGGCAGACTGCTCTCAGGGTGGGACACCATTTTTTAAATTCATTCATCCAATTAGCCAAAGTTGACTTTGGAACAATAACTATATGTGGACCAGGAATGCTTCTGAAATGTTTCATATAACCGAGCAAAGAAATTGTCTGCAAAGTTTTACCAAGACCCATCTCGTCTGCCAAGATACCGTTGATACCGTGTTCATACAAGGATATCATCCAATTTAAACCACGTATTTGATAATCTCGTAATTCACCAGATTTGATGTAATGTGGTGACGATTCAAAACGTGTAGTAGTTGCTACATTGGCATTACTTTCTGCTAATAATTCTTCGTCCTCTTCTTGTTCTGTCTTACGGTGCCTGTGATCAACAATATCTGGTTTCACTGGAGCTTCTGCCGGTTGCTTCCTGGGCCTGCCAGCTTTGACTTTCAAAGGACTTCCAGCTTTGTCCTTCTGATTGTTAGTCATAAAATGGGAAAATATTTCAGTCTGTTTCAGTAAATAATCGAATCGCTTACTTCGATCGGTTTCAAGTTTCGTTTCAAAGTCACCACCACGGGACGACGTGGTCTCCGCCGATGATCCATTCGAATTCTCTCCTGTGTCCCCTGCATCTGGATTTTCATCCGTCTTCGACATTATCTCTAATTTCAGAACTACCGTTCGCGAGTAGTAATGAAATTCTAGTCAATTCAACGTTCACGCAAAACACGTACTTGATTTACTAACCACAATTATTTGTCTCTTAAACACCGGTCTGCACCCTGACATTCACAAACGCACAACACCAATAGTCGCCATATTGGATTGCGTTATCCCTCCAAAAGTATATTGATAGGTTACAACTGCCATCTATAATCATGCGGTAATCGCGCGCATATTTAAATGTATTTCCACGTATATGATCACGAGTCAGATAATAGAAATTTTTATAGGGATAGCATTATTAGGTTAAACTTACATACTGCATTATATAATATAAATTATATAAAAAATGTTTAAATATAATTCGAATTAATAGCCATCTAGCGGTGAATAAACCGAATTAAAATTCCTACCTGCGATCAGCGCACCACCGGGAAAACGCCCAAGTTTGTCCTCGAATAGTTCCTATTTTTACTGCTAGATGGCACCATTTACATGGATTTTTACCGACACTATGGTAATGTATCGACATTGATTAGAAAAGCGCGCGAAAATTCGAAAGACCGTAATTTGAATTAATTATACGAACATGAAGTGCAATTTCTTCTAACATTTTTCAGACGTTTATTAAATAACTATGAATACGATCAACCATATAACAATTTCAGTTGCGTGTATTTGAAAGCTAATAGTATATAGTGTATAGTGAAACAAGGAAAATGTACATACATATATACAAGTGACAACCCAGATAGCACAGTACTGGACGTTCGGGACGTCCTATGGACGTCCAGATAACGTCCAAACGTCCCCTGAACGTCCTGTGAACGTCCCGGTTACATCGTAGGACATCGCTGGGACGTCCAGCGTGGACATTCTATGTACGTCCCTCCCGACATTTCCAGAACGTTTTCTGTAAAATTGAGATTTAAAAAAAAATTAAATTTTAATTTTATATATTTTCTTTTATTTGTTGGTAGATTTTAGTTTACTGTATTTATTTCTTGTTACTGGATTCCATGAAAACGACGAACACGTCTTTCAATTTTTAATTACACCTCCGGCGGGATTCGAGAACTCATGAGTTTCCGATTATAACGCAACCTGCTTCCTCACTTACTCATGAACGCCTTTAACGAACTGATTCATATTTTAGGCTTATATAGTGACTCACATTAATATTCGGACACCTTTTAAAACACAATTCCTTCTTTTGAAATTGGTTTAAATGACTTGAACTTTTTTTTTGAAAAGTTGGAAGAATTAATTTACTAGGTAATTCTGAATAGTTCCAAATATTACATATCATATCTCATCTCATTCCTAATATTGAATAAACATTTTGTTTTACATGTTCAAACATATATTCTGTTGCGAATATTAGATAAACATGCGTTTTATCTACGGAAAAAAATATTCTGTTGCGAATATTAAATAATGACCGTATACCCAGATAGCACAGGAACAGGAACGTCTTATGTACGTCCATGGGACGTCCGGTGCTATCTGAGATAATAATATTAATTAATTAATTAATTAATACTAATTTACAATTGTAAATAGTGTATTTTATATTCGGAAACAAATATTCTATTCTACATATTGAATAAATATTATATTATAAAGAATATTAATAAATAATATTTATTTTGTTTAAAAAAAAGTATTTTTCCTTAAATCTAGAAAGTTCAGAGCGGACATCCCTGGGAGGTACAAAATTTAGGTCCCATGGAAGTCCTAAGGACGTCCGACAACGGACGTCGGACGTTTGGACGTAAACTGGACAAAAAATGAACGTCCATGGGACGTCCGGTGCTATCTGGGGATTCAGTAAACCCAGCAAATAAACATATAAAGAGAAATTGTATTTTACGATTTTATGGGTGTTCGCAAAAGAGAATAAGCAAAAACACTAAATTTTATTCGAAATCTGTTTATAACTCGCAATAATTGGCATGCAAGTCCCACTAATTTTTATTTTTGAAACTAAACATCGAATGAATAAATTGTAAACATAATGAAAGTTTTATCTTTTGATTCTCTATAAGGTGAAATTTTTAAAAAGTTGTTGAATTTAAAAATTTCACCCATCTTCTATGGACGATTATACATATACGTCCTTCGCAGTCAAAGGATTAATATTTAGCCTCCTAATGTGGTTTTTCCCTTTAAGGGTGTATCCTGAATTAGGAGGTCTAAAAAAAAGCGGTTTTTTGTCAATTTTGTTAGGATGGAAAAAAATAATTAATTCTATCGAATTTTTTCTCATATTTTCATACATATTTGAGTAGTCTGTACCAATTTTTTCAACAAGAAATATCCAAATTGAGTCGACTGTGACGCACATTTGTAGAGCACCTCACAATTAAAACCCATCGGCGAGAAAGATGCAGGCCGTAATTTTGGTTTGGCAGAAAAAAACCAAAAGAAATGTTCATTTTCATACATTTTTCTTCTATGTGAACTAAGAAAATTCATACAAACAAAATTTTAAACAACTTTTATATCAAGTTAAAGTGATTTTTTACACCCAAAGAATTCGTTCTTTTCTTCAAACTTGCAGTAATTTCACATTTCACCATTTTTGCGGGTTTTTCTTAGTTCACATAGAAGAAAAATGTACGAGAATGAAAATTTATTTTGTTTTTTTTGTGTCAAACAAAAATTACGACCTGCATCTGTCCCGCCGATAGGAGGTTTTTATTGTGAGGTGCTCTACAAATGTGCGTCACAGTCGATTCAATTTGAATATTTCTTGTTGAACAAATTTGTACAGACTACTCAAATATGTATGAAAAAAGGATAAAAATTTCGATAGAATTAATTATTTTTTTCCATCCTAAAAAAATTCACGAAAAACCGCTTCTTTTTAGACCTCCTACTTCAGGATACCCCCTTAAGTATCCATGACAACTAAGCTGACAGGTGTATTATTAAAAAACAAAAGCTTAAAGTATCTTTTAGAAAGCCCTTTAGCTTCCCATGTTAAAGCATATTGTAAACGTAAAAAATTCCTGATCTAATTACCATACTTACCATGAATTGATCTTCGCTTTTGGACGGAATACGTTCATCGATGTCGTTTCCTAGACGACGGAACCACGCGTAACAGGCAACAAACAATACACTCGACACTGTGCACTACGATACACGGTACAAGTATCGTCTTAATCAGCAATAGTACAATCGTATTCAAAGACTTTCGCTATTTGGTCGATTAGAAGAGTGTCTCGTAAGTTTTCTTTGAAAAATGTCCGTCGTTGAACAATCTGTTGCGAGTCAAGGGATCATCGTTCCACCGAGTTTACCGATCATCCTAAAGCAATTCTGCAAGGCAGCCATCCGAACGCAACCGTACGATTTACTAAAATGGTCCAGCTCGTATTTTCGTGCATTGGCAGACGGCGAGGAACCACCAACGAAACTGAGGCTCGAATATCCACCGCCAAGTACTGCTTCCGGATTGACGTTCGGTTTTCTTAGGATTTTGCTACGACAATTCGGAGGTACTCACGCAAGCGTGTAAACGTACATACCTCTTGCAAGTCGATTAACTCCACTTTCTGAATTTAAACAAAAAATGTTTAGCCTCGAAACACCCGATTGACTAGTATCCTTTTATATTTAAAATTGATTTACTTTAGTGGGAAGTCTGGTCCAGCTAATGTATTCTTCTAAAGCATATAATTTCCAGATATAATTAATTTTTGTTATTGAAATTTTTTTTACATACAAAGGAACGTTCAAAGAAGAAAATTTGACAGTGTAGATTTAATTTGAATGTATACATACAGTGGGTGTAGTAAGTATTCGTACACTGGTCAATTAAAACAAAAAATTCGTTCAATTGTAATTTATTAACTTCTTTTTTATAAACAATGACATTTTACATATTCTTGGAAATCTCTACAATAGATGCAGTATAAAAAAAGTTAGTTATTTATATAAGTTGCAAAATTAACAAGAGAAAACGATAAATGGATAGAAATATAGAAGCAATAAGTATTTGACCAAATGTTTTAAATTTTCAAAACTTCATTCAAAAAAAAAAAAAACATGAAATTTACATTAATTTACATTAATTTATAAATAATTAATACTTCGTGGGATTTCACTTTGATTTTATATATGCTGCAACTCTTATACTACATTCTAACAACTATGAATATATATTGTTTCCATATTTCTATCAATTTTTCGTATTTTCTTGTTAATTTCGCAAATTATATAAACTAATAACTGTTGTTTGGACTATATATATTCTAGAGATTTCCGAGAATATGTAGAATATCATTGATTATAGAAATAGAAATTAATAAACTACAATTTCACAAAAGTTTTTTAGGAAATTGATCGGTGTACGAATACATTCTACACCCACTGTATACATAGATATAGTAGTCGCAAGGAAAGAATTCGGTCAAAACGATGGGATACGTGGACCCCTGGGAAAATTTTTTCCTTTAGTAGGTACGTAAAATGCGTATGAACTTCAATTTGCAGAAAAAAATTGTTAATTGCAAAAACGGTGGCAAAAGACATAAAAATGAACGATACTTGACGGCCGTTATTTTGCAATAAATTTATGCTATAATAATAATTCATTAAGAGTTGAGGTTCATTAGCATATAAACTTAATTACCTTCGATTTAAGCGTTGAATCAAGTGAATCGAATAAAAATTCGATGAGCTATGCGTCCCACCGTTTTGACCGAATCCTTTCGTTGCGACTACTATATCTATATATATGTATACATTCAAATTAAATCTACACTGTCAAATTTTCTTCTTTGAACGTCCCTTTATATGTAATAAAAGTTTCAATAACAAAAATTAATTATATCTAGAAATTATATGCATTAGAAAAATACATTAGCTGGTCCAGACTCCTCCCTTAACGGGGAAGTCTATATTTAAATAAATAAACCTTTGTCCTAGCCACTAACATTGAATATACCAATTTCACAACACTTAAACATATATCGTTAAATCACTTTGTACTCTTTAAATATTAAGTTTTAAATTTGATGTTTTAGAAAGCATATTTTCTGTCATTGTATACTTTTTAAAAACTCCTTATTGTTTTATTTTTAAATATGCTTCGCACAGCCTAGAAGAATGAATTTGAATGATTGCTTTGTTGCACAGTGAATTCGTTGCTTTTTAATCGTTGTCCTTAGGAAATTGTTACACGAAATAATGAAACCATAGAATTTTTAACACTTGTGTCATATCTTTCACGATTTTAAATATCTTTTCGGTAGATTACAACAAATCGTTGCCCCTGGAGATGATTCTACGTCGCTGGGACTGTTTATGCTTGGATCGACGAGATTTGAACTTGATCATGATGATTGGAAAATTCCGACGAAGGTGTCAGGTGAAAAAATTCCTAGCTATAGCGGTGGGTCTTCTAGGGTCGAGTCTCTTCGAAACGATGATCATGATTTGCGATTTATTCACTCACGAGCCCGAAGGTGGGTCAGCTATGGTCCCTGTCACACTGTTCATGGAGATATATGGGTGAGCTGGGTAATGTTTTCGAGAGATTTCGCTGAAATGATTAAACGTCATGCTTGTCGTGTAATATCACCAGCGACGCTGTTTTATTTAAAAATTCTAAATAAATAATTATTTTTTCATTGCTCAATTTATGTGTGACTAACTGCACCCGTGGTTGGACTGACTGTTCAAGTTCAAACGCGTGTTCCTTTAGGAATCAATAGGTGGCTGTTTTGTTTTTCGTGACAGACAGATGTTTCAATTCATATCTGAGATAACTTCATTTACAAATATTGAGATTTCGAACTGAAACTTTATTTTTATCACAATAAAATATAGCCTATGTTACTAAGGGATAGTGTAGTTCTCTATTACTGAAAACGTTTCTAGAATCGGTTCAGTATTTTTAATTTTACCTCTTTATAAAATTACTATAGATAAACGTCAGCAAACAGATGTTGTATTCAATCAATTGTGTTCGAAAAAAAAATTGTTTAATATAGATTTCTATAATGATTTGCACGCGTTCAAAGTGGAAGGTCCGTCAAGATATTTTCCTATAACGTTTTTCTTTTTTTTAACTGGAGTCCCATCAAGGTGATCACCCTAAATATCTTCACCAAGATCCTCCTTTGCCTAAAACCGAAATTCTAAATCCTCTTTTGCGAAATACAAATTTTAATTTCGACGATTCCATCGAATGTCTAGGTATTTGGCAGGACTTCGATGCGACGGTGGTGAAAGAGACTCCTCGGACGAGGATCCAACGGAATTCATCATATGCCGCGAATCGAACAACTCTAGATCATTGGCGAGCCAAGAACACAGCGAGGACAGGTTTTCCGTGGATCGTGTTTGCTCAATTGCGAGCCAAGACACCGAAGCGGACGTCAATTTGGATTTGGAGATGGTGTCGAAGGAAGACGTCGATTCGTCGAGAAGTAAACTGCTTTTCCAAGTTACAATGTTCTTTTATTCTCTTTCCAAAGACGCGTACACGATATTGTTCACATATTTTTTTTTTTTTCAGCTGATATAACGCCACAATTGGGCGAGAGTTACACCAGTCGAAGAAAAATGCTCTACGATAAAATGGAGCAGGATTCTTCCAGCGAAGGAACTTTGAAAGTGGATGGTAACAATGAAACTTCCGGCGCAGATGTTGAACTGAGCAGAAGATCTCGATCGAGCGACGAGAAGAAGTCGAACAAAAGTGAAAATCCCTCTGGCAGCAGCACACCTGATGGAAATGCGAGTAAAGATCAGAGCGTTCGCAGCGCAGAGCGTAAAGCGTCCAGCGAGAGAAGAAAAAAGAAAATCCTGAACGCAAAGTTGCTCAAGTATCGTCCGAATATCCCTGGTGAGAACTAAGAGAAGAATTAACAAGTTATTAAATAAAATTTTTTTATATGCAGGCTGTTAAGGTGACCATCCTAAATATCTTTGTTGCTTTAAACGATACAAAGAATTGTTCTGATAAAAAACTTAGCAACTTCGAAGGAACAATATTGGCATCTATAATATCTTGTAATATTGTAGCTGATAAAACAAAAATTCAAATATCTCGATATGTTATACAGGGTGTCTCATTATAATCTTTCCACGCGATTATCTCACAAAATATTCATCATTCGAAAAAAATGTTTATACGAAACATGCTTTATCTGAAGGGGGACATGCAATGGTGTACACTGTTTTTTTCTAGGCGGAGGCGCCTCCGAGATTTGAAGGTCACTTTTATTTTTTTTAATGGAAACGTAGTTTTTTCACGCTAGACACATAGCTTATCTCAAGACGAATTCATTGACCTATATTATGTTGACCTTGAAATGTCATTCAAAGTCATTTCCATGGCTTAAAGTTTTCTTCTTCACTGCACGTCCAGCGTATCACGATCTACGGTGTCAAAAATCCTTCGACGACATCATTTTCACCCGTAACACATTTCTGTACATCAACCAGTACGTGCTGCCGATTATGGTGCCAGATTGAGATTTTGTCAATGGTCTCAGCGTAGGATAACGCGTGATCCTTTATTTTTCTCCTATGTGCTATTTTCGGATGAAGCAAGTTTCAAAAACACAGAAGAAATGAATTGTCACAATTTCCACTATTGGTGTGATGAAAACCCTCACTGGCATCGAGCAATTGAACGTCAGCGTCAATGGTCTCTAAATGTTTGGTGTGGGATTACTGGTGGCTATTTAGTGGATCCATATTTTTTCAATAGTACACTAACTGGACAACAATACAATAATTTTCTTCGTAATGAGTTGCAAATCCTTTTAGAAGACATTACACTGGCCACCAGAAGAAGAAAACTTTAAACCATGGAAATGACCTTGAATGACATTTCAAGGTCAACATAATATAGGTCAATGAATTCGTCTTGAGATAAGCTATATGTCTAGCATGAAAAAAAAAACTACATTTTCATTTAAAAAAACAAAGGTGATCTTCAAATATCGGAGGCGCCTCCATCTAGAAAAAAAAACAGTGTACACCATTGAATGTCCCCCTTCAGATAGAGCATGTTTCGTTTAAACATTTTTTTTGAATGATGAATATTTTGCGAGATAGTCGCGTGGAAAGATTATAATGAGACACCCTGTATATGTTTGAATTGGTCTCTTTATTAGATACAATAATCGAAATAAAATATGACTTTGAAATACTTTTCGCATGGATAGTAATATTGTCCCTTTGAAACTGATAAGTGTTTATCCAAACAATTTTTTTGTATCGTTTAAAGTAACAGAGATATTTAGGGTGGTGATTTTAACTGAAACACTCTATATGTATATGTATAATTTAATCGTTTTGAATTGTTTAGGCATTGGACCTCGTCTTTCAGCTGAAGAAGTTGCCAGTGTCGCGATATGGATGAGCGAATGTGCAAGGATGCAAGAAGGTATGGTTGGTCCACGAAATCTGCGGCATATGAATTGTCCTCCTTTAGACAGACAAATATCGGAATCATGACGAACCGATAAATGAATTGTTATAAGCTGCGAATTTCCGTTACGTCGTTTTTTTAGGGAAAAATGTAATTACTTTAAAGGTTTATAAAAATTAGAATGCTTAAAAATATGTAAAATAGCGTTTTGTTTACAATGTTTAAAGTCACGCGTTGATTGTTAAGCCATTCATGATTAATGGATGTGGAACATATTGTTATAATTCTCAGTATACAGATAACATAGCATAGGGAAATAAGAAATACACAATATGATAATAACATTATTGTATAATAACATTACACTTCGCTTATTTTTAAGGTTCCCGATTTTATTTGACACTTGTACTTTTTATTAACGTAATATTATACAGAATAGTCAAATATAAAATGTACAATACCGTACACAGGATTAGCATACTTAAATGATATTATTATCATAACATTATTGTGAGCAGTTATTTAATTCACATTTAGTGATAATTATATGCCCTAACTGTACCGCGATAGATACATTTCAGTCGTAGAGATACTGTACCACTTTACTTAGAGGAAGTTATGTACATGACTTTGTAAACAAAATAAATACAAATGTTGAATTTGAAAAGACATTCGGTGTATTGACACTTTTTATCGATTATACTTAGAATATTTTAATAAGTACAAGTTTGGTATATAATAAGTCTTTAACAATTTGTCGAATGGACGAATTTTTTTCTAGTAGAATATTTTAATGCGAACCAGAAAAAAAATAATTAAACTAAATATTAAATAAAAAATATATAACAGTGACCAGTTCTATCACTTATTTAAAATCTATAGCTAATAAATTCACGATTGTACAATTATTTTGTAGTAAACTTTGTCAAATCCGCGCTTCCATTTTGTCACAAAAAAAAAAAAACAGCAATGCTTAGTCAATATCACAGGAATATTTTACTTAATTTTAAAATATGATATTAAACACCTACAGCGATCTTTTTACATCGACTCCTACAAAAGAAGAGTTAATTCATCGCAATGATCCATTATTCTTACATAAATAATGTATGAAGAATGATCATAATAATTAGTTATTTAAAGTCATGTTAATATCGTTATAGACAACTGACAAAGAAAATACATACATATGATTTGTAAAAATAGTAACATTTTGTAAAGAAACGATGCGTATAAAGTTTTATATACAAAACTTGATTTTTTATCAATTTTTTAAACGCTGCCCTGCTATATTATCGCGGAAGATAACGATATATTCTTCGTAATTCTATTTTCACATCTACATTTAGACTTCATGATTTAAACGCTACCGTCATTTTAATTCTACTTATTAAATCCAACAAAAAGTTAGTAGAACACAATGATTCATACTTTTTACATAAATAAAATATGAAAATCACCTTAGTCAAACATTATGTTATCATATAAGTTATTGCTAAAACCACACAGCAGAAAAAATATTAAAATACGAATAATATTTAAATATAGTAACGCTATGTAAGGAAATGATGTCTATAAAGTTTTACCTACACAACCAGATTATCAATTAATTTTTTAGAAAACGCTGTCCAGCTTACATCACCGCGTTAGATGACGATGTATTTTTCGTAAGTCTATTCATACATTCAGATTTAGTCTCTTTTTAAATGAGGAGAGTGGGCAATGCTCGCATTCTGAATACTCGCCGCATTTGATTGTAAAACAAATGGTAAAATGTCGTAAGAAGAAGTAAAACGATAAGACACAATAATAAGTTTCGGGCTTTCGCACGATTAGCCCTCCACTCGAAAAGTTCATGTCGATGAGTGAAAAGATTTCGGTATTGTAAAGGTAATTCGAATGTGCTGCGCAATGGATAAAGTGAGCGATAAAAATCGTTCAATAATGCCCGAACGATTTCGTTTTCGGAACGTCGAAGAGGATCCATGTCGTCATTTAAACAAATGAATTTTCTAAAATTTGTTAAAATTGATTAATTTGTTTCTTAAATTAATAATTAGTAAAACTTAATAGGGTAACTTACTTTGGATCTCGGCGAATCTCATCTAAAAGTTGAACCGTTAGAGACACATTGCTTGTCAACATTTCAAATATTTCATTTTTTCCTGCTTTAATTATTTCATGCGGGTAAAATTTTTTTTCGCCGAATCTAGATTGAATTTTGCTCGAGATTGATTCACATCTTGTTATTAATTCTTTAGATACAATTGGCTGTAAATCGATCGTGAGGTACAATAACTTTATTCGTACTTTAAAGATAATTATCTTATGCATATTTAAGTATTAGTTATAACGGATAAAACACTATACATATACTTACAAGAGACGAATCCAAATACCTTTCCCCCTGTGGTGGATTTGAGATTTTAGACATTTTTACGTGATTCGAACAGTTTGTTATAGAGTTTTCAAATTCTACAACTAGACTATAATCAAGAGGTAGTGGATATAATCTGGACAAAAGTGTTCTAATTTCTCTATCTGACCAAGTCCTGAAAACAATAGAAATATTAGCCTTTAACTTTTAATAACACCTAATGATAAATTAAAAATAAAAACTGATAAAAACATGATTGCTATTTCGTAAAATATTATACCCGGACTTGTCCGTGTCGAATGTATCGAATATCTCTTCCGTTGGCACTTTTCTCTTCTCGCTCGCCAAGAAATAAAAATAAGAAAATGCAAACTGCATATCTTCTGAGTTTCTAACTTTGTGACTAGACGTTTTTTTAAATTCGTATTCAAACTTTTTGTGCATGTCAGATGCGATCCATTTATCTATTAAATGTGGCATATGAGCAGGTACTCTTCTACGTTCGAATCCGTATGCCGTGTTATATATTCTGTTCACATACAATAAAGATTCAGCGTATGTATCGAGTTGTCTAGTTCTAAGCTTCCATTGATCGGAATAATTGGGTTTATTATTAGTCTTGATAGTACTGCTAATTTGTGGTAAATTTATGTTATCATTGTTTAAATAACGTTTTAGTTGCATGCGTCTTTCGGTATAATTTGAATTATGAAATTTCATCTTACGTATCATTTTCGATAATATCGATCTTTGAGTAGACGCGATTTGATTATTTTCGCGTTCATTAGAAAGCTTTTCAACATGATCTATATATTTATCAATTTTAAAATCATGAGAATTATTTACATTGAGCAACAAGTGCGTAGATTCATTCGGCAATATTTGTTGGGTAAACGTTTCCGTATTTTTCCATAGAGATTTGCTTTTATTTTTTAATGCATCTAAGAATTTTAATCCATAATTAGTATTCTCTTGAGCATCTTGTAAAAACTTTTGTGGATAATCTTCTTCATCGAGTGCTTCACTATCTGTAGGAACTGGTGTACTATCACAATCTCCCCCTATAAATTAATAATAACTGATATTAATTCAGATTTCTCATAATACTTGTTTATTAAATTATTAATTGAAAATAAAAAAACATAGATAAAAACTGGTAACTACCATCAAATTCACATAATGTTGTATTACAAGCAGGATCACAAGATCCATCACCCACCCAAGCCCAAGGACAAACATCAGAACAATCAGGAACCCACCATGCAAGATACACTTTTTGGCCACCCGCTTGAGTAATGAAATCTTCTGGCCATGCTTCGGCTCCTAACATTACATCATCATTAAAATATAAAAACTTATCTGAAATTCCAGGAATTCTGCAGAAGTAAAATTGAATGTATCAAATTGAATATTAATGAACAATAACTGATATGAAACAGGCAAATATTATATTACCTATGAATATGACTTTCAATAGCAGGACTAGAAAATGTTGGAAGATCACTTTTATTTATAAAAATGTCTTCATGAGTAATAAGAGTAACTCTAGGATTATCCATATCCAACCAACTCGGTATTTGACCATTGGTAACTATATACACATGTCTAACCCATGGTGCATACATTTCTAACGAACGCAATGAATATCTTAATTCATCTTTGTCACTGTACCTAGATGCTGCTGTGTTAACATCCATAATAGGAACATGTTCTTTTAAGTTTTTTACAAAAATTGGATCAGAGCCATTAACCCAAGTATATACAACATCTATTGGGACATGCTGACATAGTTTCTTTTGAAAAGAGATACCTAATATATTATCATTAAAAGAATGAAATACAGCTTCGTATTTTTCTTTACTCCAAGCTACCCATATCTGTAAAAGTACATATAATTAGAATTTGAAGATTTTCATACGCACAACATAGTCTTCAGTGATATTTAAATAAAGAATAGTATAATATTCATTCGTGTTTTAAGGTGTATTATTACTGGTAAACGAACAAGTTAAAATTGCTCTATGTAAACCATATGTGCATTTCCAATTATGATGACAGATTTGTGGAAACAATTCGAAAAGAAACAATGAAATGCAAATTTTCAACAATCAAGACATACGAATTTCGGTTCAAAACAATAGCGAGAAATCGTGGATCTCTAACCTCTCCGAAATGAATGATACCGATAAATACACAAGTAAATGCCATCAATATCACCACTAGTGAATATTTGTACGAAAGTAGATCGTAACATCGACGCTGTAACAATTTCCATGTGCTCATTATATTGATGAAAAGTTTACATGCGATTGGCATCGCTAAAACCGCCGTACGAATCCATACACTCACATGAATACACCAATACACCTGCATACACCACCATGCGGTCAGGAGTTTCAAGAAGATGCAATATTCATTATACAATTTTAAGATACTCTATCTATCCTCGAAGTTTAATTATTTCTAACATTTGCAAATATGTAGTCAATTCTACATGTCTATGTATTTCATTTCTATGTATCTTACAATTTAGGTGAAGCATTTTATTCATTCTATCAGCTTTAGTTATTTTGTTAATAATCGACAGAAATATTGCTCTTCGCAATTGTTTCCGTGCATAGATCAATCCAGATTGATCGAAATTTTAATTATTTTCAAAATAAATAACTCAGTTTTCGACGTACATTAGATTCTAATTTTTACCGAATGCGTCCTGATTTATCGACTGCATATTTGACCAACTATTTTACAATTAATAAATGTAACAATTGCAACAAATGAAAGTTAATCATATTGTTCAATTAGGATATTCATATTATACGAATTGCTCTATCACGTTGAATTTTTAATCAAACATAATTATTGCTTAGACAAAGAGACGAAAAATCTAATGTTCGTAAAAGACCAGTGATTCCACGGCCATTAGAAGCAAACAATAGGACTGTTCTTTTAATGAAAATTGCTTTTTATGATATGGAAGATATTTGTTATAAATGAAAATACATTTCCATATTGCATAATCGTATTATTCAAAAATTAAGATATCGATTCAAATCGATGATAATCTCTGATGTCATGTCATACATCGAGGGTAAACTCTTTTGGAATACGAAAAGAATAGGTATCAATGGAATATTATGCATAGTAAATAAATTAATAAATTATGGAAGAATTAAATATTAGTTTGGGATTTTAGTTCTTACTTCTTTATTTCATAGCTTTAATATCGCTTCAAAAGGATCGGAAATAATGTTAAGAAGTGATAGCCAATCACACGTATCCTTTCATTTACATACTCAAATTTCATTGGCCGAGCACTCTTGACTCACTAAGTGGTGGCGCGAAAGGCAAGCAGAAGCCATCTTTCTTTTGGCGGTAGTCGGAGTGAGCAGACGTGACGAGTAGCGATCTATAAATTAGTAGGTACGCATAATTTATTAATCGACATCTAATCGTTGTCTAATCATTGTTAAACCTTTGTTATACACATATAAATTATGACTTTGTAAATTTATACAATTTATTCTTACATTTATTATAAAATGATAAATCTTATGAGACGATGCACTTTTACTACAGTATACTATATTTTCTAGATGCTTTAAACTTTAAACATTTATGACGATATACATTTTTATAATTTGCTACAAATTCAACTGTACAGAGAAGATAAAAACTTAAACATTCTTTCAACATTTAGATCCCTTTTGTATATGCATATAAATTGTATAACTTTGCAAATTTATACAATTTTTTCTTGGATTCTTTTTATTACATTATGCTACATTTTATGGAAACTTTGACCATTTATGATGATACACAGTTTTATAATTTATGACACATACGTTAGAAACATATGAGATACAAACTTAAACATTCTTTCAACATTTACATGCCTTTGTATACAAAATCAGATTTTGAAGATTTACACAAGTTCTTCTTACATTAATTATAAATTAATAAATTTGGTGAGTTTATGTACATTTACTCATACTACACTTTCTACAAACTTGAAATATTTATGAAGCTACACATTTTTATAATTTATTTTAAATGTATTAGAAACATAATTTTTTTTTAGCATTTACGCACCTTTATTGTACAAACATTTAATATTGTAACTACTGTAATTTTTACAAACTTTTGTTGCAGATATTATATGTCATCAAGCAGAAGTACTACGAATTCGATGCAGATAGAGCAGATCAACTCCGTAGTACGATGTGGGTAATGCAGAACTACTCCGATGTTCAACGTGGATAATGCAGAGCTAATCCGATGGTAAGCGACAGGACAATTACTCCGATGACCAGCAACAGCAGAGTCACTACGATGTCCCATATCAAGACAACGGTTGGTGAGTCGCATGCTTTTCTGTTCTTCCGAAAATTGTGCGTAAATAAATACATAATGTATTCCTCGGCAAGTTATGATACATGTAAATTGTTAATATTAGTTAGAATGACTATCATACGAGGAAAATGTCGAAACAATACAAATGAGTTGCCAGAGTGATTCGGAAGATAATCGTCTGTGTCTAATCAAGAAAATGAAATAATTGAATGTCGTGATCAGTGGCAGATGCGCCTTATTATAACCACTAGTGTGAATATGCTCGATATTTGAATGATTCGATGTATCCAGTACAATCTGAAATGATAAAAGTTCCTATTAATCCAACGAACCTGTCTTTGTTCGTTACGTTATACCGATGCTTGTTATTAGAGATCTCTACTTCACGTGTATCGAAATATCCGGGTACACGGGTAATTAATGGATCCGTTTTTTAATCCGTGTATTTTTAATACACCGGTACTCGGGTATCGAAGTACACGGATATCCAGGTACGTATACGTGGATCGAAAGACACGGGCACGCATACATCGAATTATACGGGTACAATATCCAATTATTTTTATACACAAACTTTTATGTAAAAATGCTATTATTCTAAAATAATGATCCTTATTAATTTTGGAAAAATTGATATGCAGTAAAATAAATAAATGAAAAAAATATAAACATAAGAAGAATAAATATAACAGAATTAATTTTTTTAGTGTAATTTGTAAAACTTTATTTAGTAGTTAAAATAAATATCCAAGTCACGGGTAACAATAGATAACTCGATGTATGCGTACTCGTGTATTTCGATGCACGTGTACGTACCTGGATATCCGTGTATTTCGATATCTGGGTGTCAGCGTATTTCGACACTCGGGTACCCGTGTATTAAAAATACCCGTGTTCTTAATCCCTTAACTCTTTGCGGCACAGGAATTCAGGTCATAAAATAGACCCATGTTGCACAGGAATTTTATTGCGTTTTAAATCAAACAAAATTGTTATATTTTTACTAATAAAGGTATCACACCTATACACATGCAGCTATTGCGAAATTTCGAAGTAGGATTACGGTCCATCAAAAAGGTCGGACACTTTTAATCCCACCGTGCCCCAAAGAGTTAGTACACGGTACACGTGTTCCGTGTACCCGTATATTTTAATCAGCGCCGGCGTGATTTTTTGCGGGGCCGAATTCAAAAATTTTGCGGGGCCTGAATTCAAATGCTATATATTTTTTATAAGATGAATATTAAATAATAACACTTTAATGATTTTTGTCACTATTCTCAATTTAATCATCGCTACTAAAAAAATGTCTTGCATCTCAGCAAAAATTGCTTCCATTTGTTAATGGTATCATCAGTCTGTAAAAAGTTAATCAAGATCGGTGCCTTTTAATTCAGTAATTTTCGTAGACCGCGGGGCCTTTTGCCGGCCCTGATTTTGATACCCGTTCAAAACTGTGATCTCTACTTGTTATACGTACATTATCAATCGTTTTCGAAACGTATCCGCAGCCTCTAGATTTTCGTTTAAAATATACTTCCTGATCCCTGACAGATAACTGTAAACAAAAGTGTTCCAATCAAGATTGTCCATATCAGTGTTGAAATTACTAGAGTCCTTCAACGTTTTCACTTTCTTTGTCAGTTCGTGCATATTGTTCCTATGAAATTTCCATTCGTTTGTGCTGAAGTATTGCGTGGCTGACACCACCTTGTCGAAATTTTTAGCAGTTTTCATATTTCTGAAACGTTGTTTACTAACGTTATTTCTAAAACGTTGTTTACGGTTGACACACAGCTTTGGGACGAACGGATACTTACATCGGTTTGCTACCTGCAAGTCTCGAAACAAAGTCCATAATAACAGCCGGAAAAAAATGTAACGTGATCGTTATGAACCTGTACATAAACGTGTTCGTGCCCACTATCAAGCCTGGATACCACTTTAAATGTTTCGATGGCGACTCAACGGCGTACTTCGAAATAAGTTGGACTAGGCTTCCCCAGCTAAGATTATAATAGAGCAATTTTGTTTTAGATAAAGGTCAGCCTGAATCATGGGCGTACAATTTTATTAAAAAACAATTATTTATGTCGGCTAGCTGTACCGCCAATTATAACATTTTTTCGATGAAAAAGTAGATGAGATATGTATAAATATGTCTTCCAATTTTTGTTGCAAAAGGTATTACAATTTTCGTTCAAATAAATCTCAAAGTTAAGGTGAAAAACCGCGCTTCGAACTAGAATATACTTTTAAACAGAGCTGTAAATTCTTAATTACAATTACAAAACGATCTGGTTACTTGACCAAGTAATTGAATAATTACCATTACAATTACTCTGTCGCATGTAGTGGCATTTTCAATTACTTAATTACTACCAGTAATCCCATGCATTGCTTAATAATTACTTATAACGGCCCAGAAAGGGATTAGAAGGCGTCTCAAATCTAAAGTAGTCAAAAATACCTAGAAGGTAATTAAAAAGTAATTATAACTACTTTTTAAATTACTTTCAAGTAATTGCAGTTACATGGACAGTAATTGTTAAAAGTAATGATTACTGTCTTCCAATTATTTGAAATTACTTTGAATTACTTTTGCTCAAATCTAAAGTAGTTAAGTATACCTAAAAGTAATTAAATGTAATAAGAAGTCAGCAATCATTACTTTTAACAATTACTGTCCATGTAACTGCAATTACTTGAATGTAATTAAAAAATGAGTTATAATTACGTTTCAATTACTTTTACGTATACTTAACTACTTTAGATTTGAGACGCCTTTTAATTATTATCTGGGCAGTTATAAGTAATTATTAAAAAATAATTGAATTACTCAGTAATTAAGAATAAGGTATTGCATAATTACTAAAAAAATAATAATCAACAATTATTTAAATAATTACTTTCTAATTCCAAAGTAATTGTTCCAAATTGTATAAAATTACAAAATAATCATTACTTTACAGCTCTGCTTTTAAATCGAAATGGTAAAATATCCCATGAGGGAATGAAGCTACGAAGAAAATGTTTTCACAAAAGTTATTTGGTAGAAAGTAGGAATTATAATGAACGTTACCTTATGGAGTCTGCATTATTGGTACAATTATAGATTTTGATGGAATTATTCTGTTGCGTTGCGCGGAACCACGATGCGCAAATGATCGTGTCGATAACATAATCGACAGGTACCATATCGATAGTCCGTTTCGTGTCACACTTGATGACCCTGGCAGTACCTCTGATAATTCCTCCTATTAAGCCTGTAATATTTATCATACGTATTATCATATGTATAAATTATCCCTTAACCCCTTGACCTACACGCTATCTCCCGATTGCTCGGGCCATAGTAAACAGGAAGGTAGGAAGTCCTGTTTCCACTTGAATTATCTATTTCAATTTATGAAACCCAGGGCGAATATTGCAAAAGCTTCGATCATCATATTTAATCCTGTCGGTTTTTGATCATTTTTAACAATAGAATATACTTTTCTCGGTATTTAGGTTTATGTCGGCCAGTAGTTCAGTAGTACAACAATTACAAAATAATAGCCGGTGACATGAAGCCGCTTCTGTTTAAAATTGCCGGTAAACAACGCTTTAAATGAAAATTGTTTAAAAATTCGACGTATAGTCATATAAAATTGCCTCTCGAAAATGATCAATAAACAAAATTTCAAAGCCTCCTTTGGACAATTTTTTACAATCGTTAGTATATAGTGGGTGTACACCAATTATTTATTATATATTTGTAAATTAATGTAAATTTCTTTTTTTTTAATCAAGTTTTAAAAATTAAACAGTTGTGCGAATACTTATTACTTCAACATTTCTATCGATTAATTCTTTTTTCTTGTTAATTTCGCAACTTACACAAATAGCTATTTGTTTTTTTGGAAATTGATCGGTGTACGAATACTTTCTACACCCACTGTATTTATATATTTGTCAATAACTTCAAATTTAATACCTGTAAGACCGCTAGGACCGTCCAGCCAACCAGGAAACGGTTCTTTATGTGTGACGCAAACTATGCTAGGTCGTACTATCGATACTGGCAAGTCTGCTCCCCTTGTCCATACTATTTGTTCTGCTAAATTCTTTGTAAATGTGTAGGTGTTGGGATGCCCCTCTATAATCTGCTTCTGGAGTAAGTTCAGCGTTTTGTCGTCTAGGCTGTCGCACATATCGATTACCGTCGACGGTTTCAGCTTTGTTCTGGAACGCAATTAATAATAACATCATTGTATGCAATCGCTGGATTGATGATATTTTTGCAAATCCATATTTTTACAGATTGGGATAGAGAATTTAGATTTAAATGAAAGTACATATGTTTTATATTTTAAATAGTATAGCATATATTTTATTATCGATGTTCTATATACATATGTTTGCATTCGAACAGTACACACTTTTGAAATATTATTTAACCCTTTGCACTCTGGTGCAAAAAAATTACATGCTTTATAAGTTGTATTATTTAATTCGACACGTTTCCTGTTTGCACATTTTTAACGAAATGGTGCCGATTTTAAAGGGTTTAAATATTATTTCTCCTTAAAAATTCTGGCAGTATCTAGTAGTGGATATAGATTGATGAAAACAAACATATATGCTTACGGATAAATCGATTCCTCGATGTCGTATCGATTCGCGTTACTGTAAGCTGTGCTAACGTAAATAAGACTGATCAGATTTGTCATATCCTTGCACAAGTCTATGACACGATCCGTCCCCTTTGCATTCGTGTTCACAGCCACCTTCAATGGGTCGTCGAATCTCACTGTGGCTGCACTGTGGAAAACTACGTTTACCCTGTTTATCAACATGTTTCTGTCCTCAGCCGAGAGACCCAAGTTTGGTAATCCCACATCGCCCTTCACGGGGTGGATCTTATTGATCGCGCCAGGATTCTCCATTCGAAGCCTGTCGAAAACCTGCGACCAATTATAAGAAACTCATGACAAATTAGATTGGGTTACTTTCAAATCACCGAAAGAGTTTTCAGGGACAACGTTCGACGAAAACGTACTTGAGAAGATTCTGAATCACGGTTTCGTTTGCAAAAATGTTGGATAGTGCTTCGTTTTTGAATTATTAACGAAACACTACCAATCAATCACAGTGCCCGACACATACTTTTTTAAAATAACCCAACAAGATTACTTTGAATTTGTTCATTGCTCAGAAACAGCATAAATCTTCGTTTATTGCAATTCTAAACAATTTGTCGAAATAATGCTTAAATTTTACCAAGTACAACACAATTTTTCAAAATTTTCTTAATAGTACGAGACCGCTTTGATAAAGAATAGAAGAAAGAATGTAATTTAATTTTCTTGGAAAATGAAATAAAGCTTCTTTTGGAAAATCCCTTACTAATATAAAACTCTTTCGATCATACTGGAAGAACAAACAAAGGGTCGTTGGACGTTTAAGTAATAAATAAAAAATAAAAATTACGTACAGAATTTTCTTTCATTTGATTTAGTCGTTGCTCCATAGTTTTTCCTCGCTTTGGACGAAGCAGTATAAATATCATGGCCACGCGTGCACATGAGCGCAGCAGTTTTTCCAAAAGAGCTTTTCCCAAGAAACCGGTAGCACCGGTCAAAAGGATCACCTTCTCGGCGTAGAACGCCTCGATAGAGTCTACGTGATTGAACGTTTCCTTGTTTTCGTGCTCTGAATTCGTTTGTGCATTTGTGGTGCCCATCTTCGAGGACATTTAACGCAAACCACAAATCTGTATGAGAGAAGCAACATTTATAACTTCTGTATTGTATTACACAGTGTATATCTTCGCGAGTCTGTACCTAAAATATCTCCGCTATATTTGACGATGTGTCAAAATATATATCAGAAGGTGAAATGTTTTGTACAGCAAGTACACTATGACGAGTAAATAAATAGTTTCAAGATCCTTTAAAATTATACTTGAAATAAAAGTTGTCCGTGTCAATGAGATATGAGGAACTTGTGCAATTTTTACAAATGTCCAACAGAAAGGATTTTTAGATCTATTTACTTCGAAGAAGAATATCGATCTGAGTTGCTCGAATTGAACAGCTCGAGCTGTTAAATTATATACGAAACTTTACGCCAAGTGTGGTTTGCGGTTCTATTCATGGTGGCATTTGACCTCACTTTAAAAAAGGATCGATGATCGCCTGACGTTGTCATAGTACGAGTCTTGGTCACGCGTTTTTTTATAACAAAATGACAAAAGTGAAAAAAATGAATAAATACCGCCGGCATTTGTCATTGTAAAGAGATTGAACAAAGTTTTTTCTTTAATTTTGTAAATCCTCTTTTTGTACGTTAAAATGACGCTGAATAAAGAAAAGAAAACACGTAATAACCATTAAGACGCTGCAGGAACAAAAAGTCGTTTTGAATGAGACGGAAACGTAATGTAAAACAAATGATCTCTCAAGTTTTCAGATCATGTCGCATGTTTCGCCATCGAGGACATAAGGTAACAAAAATCAGATGAGTTCGGCCTTTTGTAGAGTTTTTGGGCACTCTTAACTCAAAAATAATGTAGGCACTTGTATGATTCCTTGATTTTTACTGAAATGGCGTCATGTTTTCTGAAAAGTGGTAAATATGCAAATTTTTAGGTCATCTTGAAATGGATTATATGCGATTAAAAAAAAATGTCATCAAATTGGGAACCAAAGCCTTTTAAAGGAAAGTTTCTCAGCTGTCCAAAACATTCATTGAAATTTTTCTACGATCATGTATTCACGAGTTATAGGCGTTCAAAGTAAAAAGTACCCGTTTTCACATAATCATAAAGATCTCGGTCAATAAAAAGGATCGATGATCGCCTGACAAAACCAAAAAAAAACGAAAATAAAGAGAAAAGTTTACTCCATAATACCATTTAATCGAATTTGCAAAGAAAAAATTTTTCCGTACTGTGCATACCTTCAAAGTTAACGAAAATGTTTCAACATTTCTTCGTTGCGCTTCATTTAAAAAAAAAGTGACATGGCCATGCGAAAAAAATGTTGATCTCCTGATTCGAAAACCAGAGAGTTTGACCTACAAAATGGCATTTCCAAATATTCTTTATGACCAGTTTTTGCGAAGATATAGTCACTTGAATATGTCCAAAATTTTCGAAAAATTTTAGTGATCCCTCAATTTTGTCCAGCAGTGTATAATATATGTATAACTCAATTGAAATATATAAATATATATACTTATACATTATATTTATTTATTATATTATAAACTGTACTGTACACATCCTAAGTTAACTGTCCCTCATTGAAAATATAAGAAAGCCATTCGGTATAATAAATCTAAATAAGGAGAATTAAACAAACGACTTACGCCAATGAAAATAAGGTTTAGAGGATAGTAGTATAGAGGTAGCCTTGTTCCAGAAGAGAGAAGCTTTATATAAAGCGAACGCGGGTCGCTTTCCTCACAGCCCTAAGTCAAAATCGTCTTTCGCTAAACGGATTGCTAATTAAAAGGATAGCTTAGAAGTTTTAGCCGTTAAACGCATCGATTCTTCAAGTATTTACTGCTATGATCGATTAGGTCACTTCTCTTCCGTTTACCTTTCACGTATAAACTCCACGCGTTTTCAAGCAAACACGGTTAAACTATTTACTTCTACGGTTGCCCTTGTATTTTTTAATCGATCATCTACTTCACTTATTGTTAGCAAACATTGGATGATTTGAAGAATCCACCGGTATAATCGCCCACGTGTACTTATTTTGAATCTATTGGACTTTTGACGCGATGTTTATATTAAATATTAATTGCGTTGACTATTAAAAAAACTAACAGCTTACAACAATATCCTCAGGGTTTGTAGCTACAGTATGGGCATAGGAATCCCGAGGTACCCGAACTACAGGGTGTCCCAAAAATGTTGGAGGTCCTTGAAATGGTGGTTCAGGGGGTGATTTGAAATAACTTTTTCCTTAGCGAAATTGTTGTCCAAGGCTTCATTGAGAAGATATTAACGGAAAACACTGACCAATCAGACCGCGCGTATACTGTTGGAGCGGCCGCGATAGCGATGACTACGCGCTTGGTAGCCGCTCTCGCACGCGAACAAGTGACTCGACGTGTATCGAAGGATATTGACGCGGCCGCTCAGCGCGTAGACTTCGCTACCCCGGCCGCTCCAACGGTATCCGTGCGCTCTGATTGGTCGGGTTTTTTTAATTAATATCTACTTAACGAAGCCCCATCCGACATTTTTGCAAAGGAAAAAGTTGTTTCAAATCACCTCCCGAACCACCCCTTTCAAGGACCTCCAACATTTTTGGGACACCCTGTATAGGCGAGTTCCAATAGACATGTAAAAAGTGCAACGTAAGAAGTTAAGGATTTATGTGAATAATGTAAATGTGACATGGAAAAGAACAAGACTGGATCAATAGGTACAATAATCGATGTAAAACAGATCGCGTACCCTCATAAAGTAGAAAAACAAACAAATAAACAAGCTTGTAACAGCTAGTTTACAAGTACGGAAGATGAGTCTTAAAATCGCGTAGAAGATCATATTTCAATCGTGTGTAGGTGAAGGAAAAAAATTGATTTCGAGACAGCTATTTATGGCTAACGCGAATAATGGCTTTGGAAGAATTGATCGACACGTAGTTGGACTTTCTAGACATCGATCGGTCTTCTATTCCACAACCTACATTTGGTACACATATGTCACGGACAAGAGACACGATGAATTTCTTTTGAATTTAAATAACATCACTTTTAAGTTCACTTTTTAAGTTGGGCAGCGATTACTTCGTCGATCATTATCGTTGTCATTGTTCCTAACGCTGTATCTAACACGCTTAGTACAAGTGATACGCGACGAATTTGCATTTGAAATCAAATGAAGTCGAGGCAAACGCTAAATACTATTAATATAGAGGGCGTAATTAATTCACACACATATATTCTAATATTAATATATGAAATATGTTTCATAAATCAATATTATAATATTAATGCTCAGTTTGCATAATCGATACCTATAAAATCGAAAGTGGTAAAAGAAATAAATCCACAAAACATTTATCTTCACCGAAAGTAACAAAAATAGGTTTTCCAAAATGGTGCTTTAGGATTTTGTTCTTCAATAAACCATCAATTGTATGGTATATACCTGGCTTAGTAATTTTACATGAAAGTACTTCTGATTACTATTAACTTCTCTAGAAACGAATTTTAAATGTAACTTTTTTTTTGCTCAAAGCAATTTTTATCTGCAAATCGAGTTTAACATACAAATATGCTGTCTCACTTTAATATAGCACATTTTTTGATTCTAAGAAATACTGCGATTGTAAGTAACGGCCATTTAAACCCGAAAAATGGTGATTCAGTGATCGTTACGACTACGCTGATTTATTTTATTACTAGAAAACAAACTCCTAAATCCTTTTTAGGAAAACCATTTAGTTTCTGCGAACTCACCCTGACTCGAACGATGTGAAACTTTCTAGGATAGTCTCATCTTCTGTCTCAGCGATCCTTTTAGATCGTCGAGGATCGTCACCTGTCGATCATCGACTAGATCGATGACACGTCCGAATATTCGTAAAGCATATAATAGTTAAAAATTTCGAATCCCAGATGATGTGACGTATCGTCAAACATCATTATTCGCGCTTTTCCACGATCACTTGCACACGTTTACTATGCACGCCTCCTTTTCAAATATATTGTTTGCGGTCGTTTGGATAGGGAGAGAATTTGCGCTTATTTCAGCGGTGAATTACCTGCACCCACTGAAGACTGTGTTGTCAAACGTGCTAAGGTTTCCACGCGTGCGCTGTTCATGTTTGAACGTATAGCGAAGGATGTATACCCAGATATAGTCCACGACACAACGATTATACAGGGTGTTTCTGGATTAAATGGTCAAACTTAAAAGATGAATTTAGGATCGCAAAATAAAAATGTACAGACTTCGCGAACACGCAAGAGTTGGAGAGATTGAAAATCAAGTGACAGGATATTTCACGGCTAACTAATCGCGAACCGCCACCTGCTGCACCATACTTAATGATTTCCTCAGACAGGACACTTCTTTTTTTTCAGAAAACCCTTTCATTGGTTTGTGACGCACTAAGACCCTATTGTAACGGAATTGGTTTGTGACGCACTAAGAGCCTATTGTAACATTTTTTATGAACATTGTTTTGTTACTACAGTCAAATCTCCTTAAATGCACAAATTTCTATACGATAAATGCATAGAAACCATTCCCACCACTTTACACTTTACACTTTACAAGTTCGCAGCCATTAGCTCGCTATTATTCGTAACTAACAATCCTTCGTCACGAATAATACCGATTACCAGGTCTCATCATGTGGATGTTGCTGCGACTGGAGACCCGGAGATAAAAGGAATCAAAGTTCCTTCGATCTCCCTCTACATAGAGTATACACATATAGATGCATACTCTACATAGAGTCGATAAGCTTAATACTAAATACGAAACGATGAAAATCAAAGGAAAACAAAATTTTCTTCGATTTCCAAAGTCTAAGTCTGACTCCACCAAATAATTATTTGAACTAAATGGAAGCTAAATGGAAATCGCGACGCGACCATGAAACTGGATTTACTGAGTCAGTCCCGTTTCCTCTTGTTGGATCTGGACTCGAGAGGAAGACGACCGACGCCTCTGAACCAGTCCTCCACACCCTGCACCCATCTGGGAGCCTCGATAGGACCCAACTTGCACCCGTCTCATTGCGCTTTGGACTTATTGCACTGCGCCGGGAGCCTGGACTACACCAGACGGGATACAGGGAGTAGAGAACCGATCCGGAGGAGCCGATCGTCTTCCTCTCGAATACAGATCCACCAGGAGGATGGCAACCGACCTTTCTGTCCAATTACACAGTTGGCCACTACACTTATCACATAAAGTAATAGTGACCGAAATGGAGAACGCAGTTGCGTGTCCAATATGGACTTAGGAATAAACGAAAGAATTCAACAAATGATTAATAATTATTTGGCAGAAGACAGACACTCGTACACGCATGCCTTAAAACTAACCAAACCAAGCTAAGCTAATTAAGGGAAACTACAAATAGGAGGAACGCGAGACGCGGACGCGCGACCGCGAGATCCATATCGAACGAAGGATCAACGACGAATGATCTCTCATCCCTCGTATACCTGTGTCGATCGAGGGTCGCGGCTCGCTATTGAAGAAGAGTAGGAAAAGGGCAAACAATAACCGCGTGGCTGTTAATTCGATGGCTCGTTGGATCCATCGACGAAATATTTCGCGAAACATTAATATTACAAAAAAGTCATATTCTCGGTCATTATTTAAACAAATATTGTTAATACTTAATGTAGCTGTGGCGACATAGGAAACTCCGAATGGAAAGTAGGCATCTGAACGACACCTTCGGCCGTCTGCACCGTCGAGTCAGAGAGTCATAAACAAATAAATCTTGACTTCGGTACGCTGACTCGACGGTCATTCGACACGGCCAAGAGGAAGCCCTTGTCCCTTTCCACTCGGAATTTTCCATAGTGTAAACTGCCAAACTGTATTTTAGAGTTAGTCCGTTCTTGACTCTGTTGGAGTCGACATCGAAGCCAACGTCGATCACGCTCTGTTGATTAATAAATTGTTTTTTGCTACACATTGTGGTTCTTCAATCTCATTCACGTAATTCCTTCATAGCTATTGTCAGAAATTAATATTTAGTTGGTCCAATCAATAGATATTAAAATATTGACAAATTTCTCACGATTAATGTCTCGAATGAATACTTATTCTGAACCGTAATT